AAATGAATTCTAAAAAGATTAGAATGGTCGGTATAAATTTATATTGAAAATGAATATACGACAATTTAAATATAAAGTGAATGCGGATTTTAACGTGAAGAATATAGTGTTTTTTATATCAACATTTTGAACTCGATAATATACATAAACAAGCATTAAGTACTTGTACAATAATAATCAAAATTACAATTAAAATTATTTGAAAAGTACTCACATAATAATCTATACAACAAATATTTATTTAACCTATATTTTTGTTTTTGTAAAATATCACTTTACTATACCTGTATACTATGGTATGTAACTACATGACAGATATTACTATAAATGAAATGAAATATTAGTTTATGTTATGAGATGACTGATGTCTGTTGACTAATGAGATTATGACAAATATTACATTGATTTTTATCATTTTATTTTATTTCTGTACAAACATATAGTATGTACACACAAATCTACAAATATTTTATTATTTGAAGCTTTCAATGTAATCTTTAGAGCCTTTTATGTTGAGCACAACATTCTCACACTTTCATAAGTCTTGTGTAGTATTAATTCTACATAATATATATTATTAGTACACAATAATCAATACATTTTTAAAGAATTTTAAATATATTCTAATTATTAATTTAATTTCTAGCTAAATTAAATTATACGGTAACATAATAATGAACTAATTACAGAGAATATAACGTAGTATTTTGAAAATCGAAAAAAATAAGTGCATGTTTATATTAATTAAACACATTATCGGCCTTAATTAGAAGTTATATAATATATTATCACTAAACCAGTTAATAAATTTCAATCGATGATGGTATTTTATATAATTTATAATGATTAAGAAAATAAAATAAAATGGTAATTTTGAAGTACAAAAAATAAAATATTTTTTAGCATTATGTAGATCATTTATGTAAATTTTAACATACATATTTTTATAATAAAAAATAATTGCTTTCAAAAACTGTTAAAAATCATTAAGTTAACTATTAGAGAGTAACAAAAAAAAATAAATATTTTTTATAATTATTAATTATTATAAAAATTATTTATTAATTTCTGTATTTATTTATATATTTATGTAATATTTTAAAACCATATATCGCGTACCAACTATGTTCATTCTATAAATAAAACACGGAATACTTTAAATTGTTAGTCGTCATTTTGATTATACTACATTAACATGCTACTCATGACTAAAGAAAAATATATTTTTCTGCTATTTTTATTTTTATTTTTTGTGATGTTTAAAAATTCAACAAACGTGGATAAATCAAATATTATGTTTATAGTATATTCACCTATTTTGAATAAAATTACAGTTATTTTAAGTATTAACATAATAATATCTAAATATAGTATCTAAAGCATACTATATAATAATCAGTTAGTAACCTTTAATTGGTATAGGTACACTTAAAGTAGCCCTGCAGTTAATTATTAATATTAAATAAATATCTTATTTTATAATTTTAAGTTGTTAATTTACACAATCATTAAATTATTAATTATTCAGATTATTATAACATATATATTATGAAAAAATATTAATAATTACCTACGCATTAAAACTTAAATTTTTGTTTTAATACAAAAAAATTATTAATTTTTATAAATGTTATAACATAAATAATTTGCCTACATCATTGTATCAATCATCAAGTAATATTAAAATAAAACAATTTCACAAAGTCTAAAAATAAAAATAAAAAACAATTTGATTTAGCTACAATGATTTATATGATTAAATGAAAACACATTTTAATGTATTTATGTAAAATTAAATATTTAAAAATTCAGTTAATAGTATAGTTAGATGTATATAGTAATCCTATAGTATTTCTAGTAATGTAAACTATCGATTAGTTTTGTTTGCGTGCCTATTGGCAAAACTTATGTATATATATATATATATATGTATACACGTAGATATTTATAATCTATGTATTTGTATAAACTGTATTTTACGAAACCAAAGTTAGAATATAAAATCATTAATTAAAAATCAATTATATGTTCAATAGTTAATAACAATCATATTTTATTATGACAGATATGAGGGAGTCAGGTACATATTGTATTTTCTATTTTCTCTATTCTAAATACAACCTACGAAGCATGAAATAAAAACAAGGAAAATCAAATAATTTCCTAATTGTTTAATCATATTTATACGTATTATTTATGTAAATGGAAAAATATAAATATAGCTTAAAGTACAGTCAATTCAACTACGTTTTAAATTCAAGTATGTAAAAATGTTATCAAATATTTTAACGATTGAGTGAGTAGATGTAATTTAAAAATAATAATTATAAATTTATATATTCATGACTGTAAAATAAACAATGATTTCTTTCAATTTTTGCAATTATATCACAACATTTAACAATAACATTGAAATTAATGTTTTCATTATAGTATTATGTTAAACGTCTTTTATTAAATTTATTGTTTTTATTTATTATTATTGTGGTATTTTTATAGGTAATCACTAAATACTATATACAGCATATTGAGCTAAAGTTAGGTGCGTTAAGTACAAAATAATTCTAAAACGTTTTATTTCCGTCTTATTTTTGTGTAATAAATAAATTTAGGTTATTGATTTAGGTAACAAATTAATGCATTACAAAATTTGAACATAAATTAAAACTGAAAATAATCATATATCATTCGTTTAATTAATTTTTCAACATCGACAAATATGGACACTTCCTATTTATTTAATTTAATTTTATCATGCATTTTTCCATTAAATACTTAATATAATAATACAAAAAGCTTTAAAACACTAATTTCTATAAAATATCTCTTATTAAAATTTCATTTAATTTTTGTATATGCATATGGAAAGTAATTTTGGCAGAACTAAGGGAGATCTTATCCTTTTACGTAATTTGGTTTTCGAAAATATGTTTCCCAAATTTCACAATGATTATTTTACAATTTAATTTGTTATATTAATAATTTTTAATTACCTATTTTTTCAATGTAGAACATATAGAAATATATTAAATTCTATATGTTCAACAGTGTGTCAAGTTGATACAAAAAAAGAGTACCATCAATAACACTGAATTTCATATTTCACGTTTATTTTGCATAATTTTTTCTTACATTTTTATATGAATATCGTGACTTGTATTTGGTATCTTTTCTATTTGGATCAAACAAATCTATTTTGCATTACATGTTTATAACTATATAATACATATACATAATAAATACACACTATAGACACATTTATATTCAATGATTAATGTACATCGAACTTTTACATAATAATAATAATATATTTATAGATACGCAAAGTTTATGTGGATACTAAATATTATATATATTATTGATGTATAAATTACAAAACTGAAGCGTGTAGATTAATCAGTAAAAATAATTTCGAATACAATTTTTTTTTTTATCGAAAATAAAATACTATCTGTACATTAATTGGTAATTTGGATATACATATAAATAAATATAACATTAAAATAATTTTAGAGGAAGTCATCCATTGATAAAATTCAATTAAAAGACAATTGATAAAAATTTAACGAATAAAATTATAAGAATATAAGAATTTCAAAATAAATTTTCTATGTATATTGTTAAATTGAATAACTTAAAAGTAATATTTTAGTCATCCTATACTTTGAACATTGGAGAAATTTTGGAAGATAGGCCTCAACGGGGTTTAGTTCCCTTTAAATGTTTCTAATTCCGCTCAGTACATGTTAGTAAATTTAATATTTTATGAAAGAAATTAATTTTTTTATATTAAATCTATAAAATATTTGTTCGTGTGTAATCTTTTTATGCTTTGCAATACAAATATATATGAAAAGATATTGGTACCAATTATAATATGGCAATAAATGCAAGTTTTCATAATATTCTAAGAATTTTAATAATTGATACAAGTTTTTGAGTTTATATTTGATATTTTAATTTCAATAACCTTATAAAAATTATTGACTACACTAAATCTATTTTTAATCCTGTAATTTATTTAATTATAGTATATAGAATTAAAAATGTTGACTTTTGTTATAAAATAAAATGGTTATAAAACAATTAATTTTTATTTGAAATTATAAATTAATTAAATGAAATTCATACTATATTTAATAACTACTCAAAATATATTAAATAATTGTCCAAGTTAAATGGTAAAATTAAAAACAAATGTTATAAATGTATTATATAATATCATGTCATTTGATGTACATTTATATACATACATAGGCACCATTATTAAATATGATTGGGTAAACTGACTATAATATTGAAGTAATTTTATAGTCTGACATTAAAACATTGAATTTTAATCCAAATTATTTTATTCTATAAAAAAAAAATAATAATAATAATAATAACAAATTATGTTTAATTAATTCTGAACGGTTCTATTATTGGATAGTTGCCCTTATCAAGCCATTTTATAATTTAAATTTTGCTTTGTTATACGTGTTCAAATTTACTTATTGTGTTTTGTTAATACAGATGGTAAATTTTCCATTAAAATAAAAAAATTAAAAAAAAATGCATTTTTACAGTAGCTATGGTGATAACATTTTTAAAATTAACTGACATTTTACCATTTTCACTGATTACCATGTAAACTATTACTTATTTATAATCTTCAAGTTCTAAAAAGATAAATTCTGTGTTAAAAAATATTCGAAATTCCCCATTTTTTCTAAAAATTATTTAATTTTGAACTACAATAATAATAACTAAAATAGGTCTTGTTGAAATTTATTAATGCATTTCATCATATTTTATTGGTATTGCAAAGCTGTCTTAATAAAATTGAACTGTTTATATTAAAAGTATAATCAGTTAAAATTTGTATCCCATACGCTCATATTGCTTAAAAAAATATATGTATATAAAAAAAAAAAGCACAAAAATCATTTAAAACAATATTCTCGTATTATTTAGTTTATTCAGAATTTAAAACTAATGAAGAAATTGTAATTGCTCACCTTGTCCATGACTGCTCTAGCAACGAATCAGCTAGCGACGAACGAGCGTTTGTTTTGCATGTCAAATCCAATCTGTTTGTGTTCAATCCCTTCTACAGCACGAGCTATTAAGTTTACATTTATACTTTCGTACCTTCCCATAAGCAGCGAGGTACCGTATGTTATTTATTTTTTTCGTATATTTTTTTTTAAATCGCTATTTTGCATGTCAAACAAAACAATACTTGATAAAAAAGGATATACAGCCGCATTCAGTCCTTAGTGTAAGGTGCGCCCTTTATTAACAATAATTTCAACTCTGTTAAACGTTATAATTATGAAAATTACATATAGTTAGAAATATTCTAGATTTTTTTTCTATCGTTGAAGCAATTATTTTTTACGAATATTTACATTTAAAATATAGTTGACCCATTTTATAAACTTTGTTATACTGTCATACTGCGAATGCGCAAAACATTATCCATACTTTATAAGTGTCTATTTATAATCACATAAAAATATTTGAGATTTAATTAACACCCTCTATCACACATAATGTTAAAGCATCCATAATTGTTTGTTTAACTGTTATTTAATACTTATGCTCAAACCAACTAAAATGTTAATTAGTTAGGTACCTATTAATCATATATTAATTTATTATAATTAATAAACACAGATAAATATGTAATTATTATAAGATACTTAATTATTGCACACTTATTTATGAAGTACCTATACATGTTCTACTTATTCTGAACATTTAAAAAACCAACGATTTATGTTAACCACATGTTTTTATATTACGTTTGAAGATTAATTAACAAAAACCAACGTACTGTACTATGTATATTACAATTTAGAGTACGAAATTCAAGAAAACAATTTTAGATTTTATTAATTATATACTATAATATAATAAAGTAAAAATATGTTATAATATAAAAATAGTATTTATTAACTTAATTATTTGATACAAAAATTCACAATTTTAAATTGAATTGGCATAAACTTTAAAATGTTTCAAGCTTGTATACAGAGATAGATTTACACAATTGGCTTTTAAAGCAATTTTTTACTTACCATCTATAATAAGCTGATTATAAGCTTTTTGTGTGAACCGCGGGTGGTTAAGAACTAAACATTCGTTATACAAACTATAAAGAATCCAAGTAGTTATGCTTTTGTAAATTATCAATTCTTGAGATATTTCAGTGGCCGTGGTCATTCAATCAACATAGCAGTAATAACTTCGTTATAATTACTAATTAGGTTATAATATTGTCATATTTTCCGTATTAATGCATGTAATATTTTCATTATCTTTGAATTCACAATTCATTATAATATTTAAATATATATAATTTAATTAATGTTTGGATTAAAAATATTTTTTTTTAAATATTATAATCGAAATTTAATTAAAATTTGCCGAACTCAAAAACTTGTGATCGCTTGAATAAATTATAAAGATGAGGGGTTCAAATTGGCTGCATGTATCAATATACGAATGGATTAACTGGACATATAATTAGTAGAAGATAAAGGAATATAAAGTGGAACGTTTGGACGAGTTTGGTGAGGAAAAACTTTAAAGTGAATAAGTGTTAGGAGAATTCCTGAGTCAATCACACTAGAAAATAACCCATTCATAAATTAAAGACGAAGTCCGCTTTCATTTTTCCATAGATTTCAGCGTCCTCCTTTATTTAATTAAGCGAGGAACGCTAAAAAGGAGTTCCCCCTAGGGATGTTTACCTTTGAATGGTGTATTTGGATTTTTTTTTCGTTTATTTCTATTTTCTATAGCAAACTACAAAGTAATATTTTTTCCCAGAAAACAGTTATCGTTGACGACAATGATGGACTAAGATAATAATCATGACTAAATAACTATATAATTTTAAAGTGATTTCGGTTGTATAATCGTATAGTATATTCGAGTAATTTACTTTTTATATCTATTAATATATTGAGAGGATCAGTGGCGTATACAGGGAGGGATGTGGTCAGATCTCCTTAGGCTTTTTTTTAAATGTTATAAAATAATATTTTTAGCGTGAGGACGTTAGAAACTTGTAAAAAATAATAATGATTTGTTTGCAAATTATCCCCCTAAATAAAAGTTATGTACATATATGCCACTGAAGAGGACCATTAATGGTCGGCAATATAATTTTTAAAAAAATTTTTGTAAAATAAAATATATTATATATTTATATATGTAAATTACAAATTATGTTTTTATTATACATTGTTAATCGATTATGATTAAAAATGTACTTTGAGATAAAATGGTCGAAATTAAAAATTAAACAATACTACATTTCCTCTAAATGTCCAAGCCGGGACATATGGACGTGCCAAAAACATTTTTCGGGACACCAGGACGCGAAGTCCAAAACCGGTAACAATCCCGGTTTTCCGGGACGTATGGCAACCCTAAACTACCACAACGCCGAAAAACTTATAGTGGTGAGCGTTTCATTTTGGATTTACACGCAAGTGATTTGTTTAATTATTATACAAGAATATCAAGTGCTGATTTTGAATTTTTGATAAATGTAATTATACCCAAAGTTGCAAAAGAAAATACAAATTAATAATAGAAGATTTGCGCTTGTTTTCAAAATTTCTAGGTCAAAATCCTAACAGGACTCGTGAAGTCAAATATTTCGCGCTGCCACATCCAATAGATACCCCAACGGATAATTATTGGCTGTAATGGTAAAGATGTATTTGACAAAATGTCTTTATAAAACTGAATTCTAAAACGAAGCCTTCGAGAAAACCTTTTTTCCGTTATTAATTAAATCATTAATGCCATGAAAAGTATCTATAATTTTTTCAGCAATTCGGTGAATACCATGAGCGACTCAAATTACATGAACAAAATTCAAATAAAATTATTTTAAATTTTGTGCAGTTTCCGTCATTTAAGGAGCAGATAGAATCAATACAATTTTATCATCATTGTTCCCTTCAGGCCACAGTAGTTTAAGATAATCGTTTAAAAAATGTGCTATGTATTCTGGAATAATTTTTAAAACGTCTGTATAACTATTGTTCCATATTATATTATTGTATTATACACGAAATAATATAAAATAAAAATTACCTAGATATTCGTTCAACCAAAGTATGTAGCGAGAAGACTGACATGTCTAGTCGTTTAAGTTGATCAATCGCGACGATTACAACAGTGGTGTCGTCTGAATAACATCCCAATTAATCAAACATGTTCAGTTACCCAGTATTCAGGTGTTTACCGTTTTTTCGAGTACCGTCGTATGAGAGGGCCTAACACAACAACCAAAAAACCAGCTGCCGCCCTTGAACCATTTTATCTATGCCTTGAACCTTCCAACGTGTGCCACTGATATTATCTATACTGGCTATTTAAACAATTTAGTTAGACTTAATGAGTCCCTAAAATATCTTTTTAAGAACTTTGTTTTTCACAGCATTACAGAAGGCAATGTAAATATAATTATGTTTTCTGTAAAAATAATGATTTTTCGTCGAACTCAGGTTTCTTATTTTAGATAGAAGTTTCCAATTTAAAAGGTACCTTAATGATATATAGATGAATTATGTCATTCAACAAGGCCGTATCTAGGGGAGGTCCAGGGTGTCTAGACCCACCCTCGAAATTTCTTCAATATGTTACAAACGTTTAAAATATTTATTTATTTTTAATACCAACATAAATATTTTCAGTCAAAAATGACTTAAGCTCCAATTAATCATTGACTGCTTTTAATTTTATATTATAATACCATATGAAAATATGATATTAATTTTAATAAAAGAACATTAAATCTTTTTCTGTCTTATTATTAACCAAATGTCAAAAGTTAAAATATAAATTCAATAAAATTACAATATACATGTTTTGGATCCCTCTCGAAAAAAATTTCTAGATACGGCCTTGTCATTCAATAATTAATAACATATTACATTAATTGAATTTATATTTTTTGAATAGTTCATAACATTTTGAATGTAGGTACTAACTAAATTATATAAAAATATAAATACAAGATTAGAGGTAACACTCAATGTTCTTAAGTATTTTATACTCAAGTACATCATTTCAAAATATTTAATGAGATCATTTAGAATATATTTATAGAAATACATTATGAAGAAATTATGTATAATATAAATCGTACATATTAATACAAAATAAATAAAATAATCTTAAGTATAACATCACTTATTAGTAATTTTTTCAAATAATTAAATTGATTTTTTTTTTTTAAATAATTAACATTTATTAATTATTAACAATACAATTATAAATGTATATAATAAAATACAGTAAATCCTCATTAAAAAATGATAGTTAATTATTAAATCATAGGGGGCAAGTCCACTTTACTCTGTTTATGGGCAAATGTTAAAAAAGTTAATGATGACACAGCACTTACTAAGAATATAACATCAAACCAACGATGGTAAAAACTAAACTGTAAATCTCCAAGCACTTCTGTAATTATAGCTCTATACTCTGCTGGCATGTTCATACGCATTAATAGTACTGATGATACAAAATACATGCCCATAAGTTGAGCAAATATTAAAACAATAATATTTGATGATTTGCTACTGGAAAGTGCATAAAAGAATTTTGTTAATGTTAACAAGAGACCTCTTATTGATGTGAAGGCAATACATCCAACCAACAAAAAAGACACATGTTGAGACCAAAATGATACATCAACATCAATGCCTACCCATTCAACCAAAATTTCCATTCCTCTGGTAACTGGATCTTTTTTCCCTACTCTCTGTAACATTATATTCAATGTGGACATAATAATTTTCCAAACACAATATAACGAGAAAAAATAACCAAGAAAATTAAAGTATTTCCCTTTCCATGTTTTGGCCCAAGCAGTACGTTCTAATGTATTGTGTAAATCATGTGTTTCTAAAAATAAATGTCTGCTGAGTTCTTCCAAGGCTTTAATATCACTTTTGATTCCTCTTAAATCACTAGATACATTTGATTTAACTCTTTTTAGCATATCCATAAACCCAAATGTACTAACTCCAGCATTAGTTTCTGCCAATAAGACCTTTTTTTTCTTAGCAACAATAACGTCCATTGTCTGAAGTAGTTGTTTTTCCACATTTATTACATCATCCCCAGTCACTGCTTTAATAAAATATGCCATTGAAGTATAAGGGTAGTTTACAGCACCAAAACCAGATAATAATGCCATAACTGTAACACCAATCACACCAATTCTGCTGATACAATTTTCTATAAATAAATGACCTTTTTTTTCTTGTGGTAACATAGGAAACGGATCACCAATTTTCCAGAACAAGAACAGATAAAATATCCAAATAATTAATGCTAAAATTCCAACTCTCTTTTGAAAAAATGGATACATATTACTCAAAGTAAAATAACATAAGTAAAATGGTATGAGTACAACAACCATAAACAACATTTTATATAGAATTATATTCCAAAATATATAGCGCGAGTAGGGAACCAATATACCAACAATTTCAAATATGATCAGTTCAAACATAGTACATGACAAACAAAAAGTGACTGAAAATATTAGTTGAATTGTTTTGTGATGCACTTCATAGTCTTTAAATAGTTTCTTGACAAAATAAACCCAGCCACACATAAAGAAAATTGTTTGTGATAATAAAATTACTGAGATATCAAACACAAAATGTGAACTGAACTCCATAATAAGAGTATGTGTGAGTTTAGTACAAATTATTTATGTTGTAATTTGGCAATGTTCATATTATTTTCTTCATCAGCCCCATATTGGTGAGAATTAAAATACATTTTAACAGCAATCAGGTAACTAAAAAATAAAAATAAAAATATAATTATACATATATACATATTTTGTAACATTAATAAAATACTCCAATAAAAGAGTAAAGAAATTAATTTTACATAAATGTCTGAATCAATAGTTATTTTTCTTAAATTATTTAAATTTAATACTAAGTTGCTATTTATGCATCATAAAATATTTAGGTAATATTTATTATTATTACCAAATATTGTTTGAATGTGATAAATTTAATTTAAAATGTTATATAAAAATATAAAAGTTAATCATTTCCAATCATGATCCAGATGTTTAAATAAAATATTTACCTACAAATTATTTAAAAAAAATTAACATTAATTTTTTCAAACTTTAAAAACTAGATAATGAACATTTGTACAAACAGGCCTAGTTATTAATAGTATAATACTTTTAACAACAAAAAACTTAACTATTTTTATGTGTAAAATATAACCAGAATTCAGTATTACAAGAAAATTTAAATTACCACCGAGTAAATTTAATTGTAATTTGTATTAAAATACTTAGTACCTATATCATTGGGTATCAATATATTATAACCAATACATTCCATAGTCAAAACATAATACATATTTATTAACTATACTGGTTTGGTTTAAAGTTTTACTTAAATTATAATAAAATTATTAAAAATATAATATGCTTATAAATTTAATAGATATAGAATTTTTTAGACTTATATCAATGGCATATAGTTAAACCATCAATACAAACTATTTAATAGTTATTATATTGTTTCTAAATATAAAAATTAAAAACCTTAGAATATATAATATTTTAGTAACATAATTATCAATATTAGTTTTTTTCCTATTATATTTACTGTACATGCCTCACCTAAATATCAATCCATTTAATTTGTAGTGAAAAATATATAATTCATGTCATTGGTTTCATATTTTATGTAAGGAATACTTATTAAAATTACTAATATATAAAAATTATATTTAATAGTTTTCGGAAATTATAAAAATTCATTCTTAACCAAGATTAGAAGTGAAATTAACTTTTAGAAATTGAATCGCTCAGTTGGCTTTAAGTGTTTACGTTATTCGTTATCACAATTATGAATGATAAACAATAGTTTGATATGCCGATTTTATTATCTTATACACGACCACAGAGATAGATAAATATTTTAATTCCCTTATTTTAATCATAAAATAATTAATGATTATAATTTTACTTTATACATGCTATTCTGCCGATCTAAAAATGGTTGAAATTTTAATATGTTTAATACATTTTTCAATGTGGATTACTCGTGTTTTCAGTTCTACTTGCAGATTAACATTTTAAATACATGCCTATTTATATAATTAGGCTTTAACTCTAAAATATTATTAAATGTGATTTCCATATTAGACGATGATGTATCAATTTTAAATTTAAATGTTTGGATCTTTCTCAATAAACTAAGGTTTAAAATGTGTTTGATTTAGGAGTGTAATTTTCTTGTATTTGTCAGATGTTGTTAGAAAAATTATTATACTATTTTTATTTCCAATATTTAGTTTAAATCTTATCTGGGAAAATCAATATCTCTATAGAAAATATGTTTTCAACTAATTATTACTTTTTTCAATTAAAAATATTGCATTTAGAATGTGTAGAAAATAAAACATACAATAAGCAAATAGCTTTTCTAACAATAAAAAAAAAAAAATTACTTAGATTACTTTGAGTAGGGAATCTGTCCAGTGACCTTTGAGTGATTCATTTTACTATAAAAATGTATCGTATTTATGTAATGGAAAAGAAAGACTTTCCCTAATTAATTCAATTGTTTGTATTGAAATAGATAAATATTTTTACAAAACAGTCATAGATGTTTAAAAATATTTATTACAATAAATCTAACTATTTAAGGAAGTGTGAGTTTGAACCCAATCACAGATTATATTGTTTCTAGACGAAATATTTATCACGAAAAAAATAACTGTAACCATAGAACCTCTTACTAACCATATAAAGTACTTAAATATAAAAATCTACTACTGTCCCAAAAAACTGATGTGGAAAATCATAGCTTCAGCCCTCCATAGAAAATAAACAATATCCTAACAATATTTTGCACAATTACTTAATAGTTGTCGATATCAAAAATCAAAAATAACATTGAGAAATGTCTTAACTTTTAAACCGATAGTCGTTTAATATCGTTTTCTAATCTATAGAAATAATAATTTTAATTTTATCATGATAAACTATTATACGAAGAAAATTTATTTTATCTATTATTTATAGACAATCAATTATTATTATATGGATTATTGTTTTAATAGTTATTTTTTTTATTTTTTTTTTAACAGATGTAAATAATAATGTAAACGGTATATTTTTAGCATTATTATTTAATATAAAAGGTACACCTATATTAATTTAATCTGACGATATATATTCTTTAAAATAAAAATATGTAAGATATTATCACTTAAATGTATATATCTTTAAAACTAGGAAACTTGTAGTTTTTGTTTTCAAAAAATAACTCAATTAAATATACGCTATATTATTATTATTTTTTTAGCAGATACTGACAAATTTAATTTTTACAATATTATAATTATAAAATATAAAATAATGAATTTAAAATAAAAAGTTAACAGATGATGCTCATATTCATTAATGAAAATTGTTATCTTACTATCATGAAATACATTGATAAAATTGGTTTTAGATACATGATATATTATTATAATGGTTTATAATCCAATTTAGATTCCAAATTTTTATTGTCTGATACTTTTCTAACAGCTTTCATAAAATCTTCATGAGTCACATAATCTTTTTCAGCACGTATGGCAAATAAACCCGCTTCTGTGCACACATTACGCAAATCTGCTCCATTAAAATTGTCAGACAATTTAACAATCGCTTCATAATCTAAACAAAATAAATAACAAAACTGATTAATATATATTTATTAAGACTTTGAGCATAACAAAAAAATAAAAAAATATTAGATACTGATCTAAAATGTTATGAAAATATTAAATATCCCTTTGGACACAACCTAATTTAATCTGCTTTTACCATTTGAAATAGTTTATTTAAAATCTAAAATGTATAATTTATTTCATACCTATGTCCCCTTGTTTAGTAATAGGAGCTGCATGAATTTTTAAAATATCTAATCTTGCTTGTTCATTGGGTAGTGGAATTTCAATTTTACGATCCAAACGTCCAGGTCTTAGTAAAGCTGGATCTAATGTATCTGGTCGATTGGTAGCCATTATCATTTTAACCTAATTAGAATCTATCAATAAAGTATTTGAAATATAAAAATAAATAATAAAATACTTGGCCTAGTGAATCAAAACCATCCATTTGATTTAAAAGTTCCATTAAAGTTCTTTGAATTTCACGATCAGCAGATGTTCCTTCAGAGAAACGACGACCACCAATAGCATCTATTTCATCCATAAATATAATACATGGCTGATGATCTCTAGCATAATTAAACATTTCTCGAATAAGGCGAGCACTCTCACCAATGTATTTATCAACAATGGCACTTGATACAACCTAATTATAAATTTATTTTATTTTTAATATATAATTAATGATTACATTAATATTTTTACATACTAAACAGTTAAATATTTTTAATAGTGTTCAATAACTAACTTTTAAGAAATTTGCATCCAGTTGGCTTGCTACAGCTCTGGCTAATAATGTTTTTCCAGTACCAGGAGGACCATATAGCAAACAACCTTTAGGAGGAGTTATTCCAACACGTTGAAATAATTCTGGATTTAATAATGGTAATTCGATAACCTGAAAATTAATATCAATAAATTGAAATACAAATAAAACATGAATATGTAAATAAATATACTTCTCTAAGTTCACGGATCTGTTCAGATAATCCACCAATAGCTGAATACGTAACTTCACCTGGATCTTCATGGGACATTTTATAGACCAATGGATCAACCTCACGGGGTAAATAACGCATAACTGTCAAAGTAGTCATATCTAAAGCTACTCGAGTACCAGCTTTTAATTTTGCTTTATCAAGTTGACGCCGACATCCAACCACATAACGTGGGCCATTTGTTGCCTTAACAATAACTAATAAAATAACATATTTATTAAGGTTATCGAAAACTTAAATTATGGAATGTTATGACTTACATTTATCTTCAGTTAATTGCTTTAATACTTCTCCAACAATCTAAAAATAATAATTTAAAACAATTGCACTTTAAATCTATATAAATTAATATGAATAATTAATTATTTATAATTTATTTAGTGACTTACTTGACCAACACTTTGGAGTGCTTTTAAGTCATTTTCAGATTTATCATACTGTTTTGTTAGTTCTTTGGCTTGTTCGCGCACTGTAATAACAGAATAGGAAACTATAAATATAATTCTAAATATCTAACACTATAAGTTTTGTAGTATTTGTTTATACATTTAACTTCAGTAGTAAGTAGTTAAATACTATTATTTTATAGTAGGTAGGTATTAAACATTTTACCAAACAACTTTAAAATTCAAATTACTTAGGTTTAAACATGTTATGAAGACTAATAAGATAGGAGTAGTAAGGTATATTACGAAAATTTAGGTCAAAGGGACGATATGGAAAAGATTGTTCGATGGAATTAGGATTTGAAAGCAACATGAAGCTAATGTATGCTAGTGACCCCAAGAGAAAGAAGGCACGGGTAAAAAAAGTTTATATTCATTAAATTAAAATTAAATAAATTAACAAAATATTAAATAAATTACAAAAGTAAAAACAGCACTTACTTCCTTTTAATCGGCTAGAAATTTCTTTATGTTCCATTAGTTTCTTACGATTTTCCTGAAGAATTTTCTCCCTCACTGGATCAACTGGAATTCCTGATGACATGTTGAAGTGATTAACTCAAACAACAATAGAAACACAAAATTTTTAGAATAGTTTAAAAATACGGAAGACTGAGGGGATAATAATTCTAAGTTAAGAAGAGTTGTATATTAAACCCAGTTCGGCATATCATCATGACAAGCATAAAAACAACGCAAATGGTTATGCATTTTTATTGGTGCATGGTTTTGTATAGTCTTTGGAATTCTATAATTTGTTGATAAATCCACGGTCTTAGAAGATATCTTCTTAGATTGTGATAAAAACTGTTACTACTCTTATCTCCGACTATGACAAATTAATAAATCATTAGGACTAGAGATGGGAATTTTCGGTCGTTTGAATGATTCGAATCATTTGAATCGGATTAGTCTAGTGATTCGGTCATATCAGTCATTTCGGTCTTGCATCAAATATCGTTCTTATCATTAGGTGAATCAATTTTCTTATGAAATATGAATCAGTTAATCAGTGACAGAGATTATTATTATGATAATATTGTAAATTGTATTGTTTGTAGTAAAACGCCGTGGTTGTTATTATAGGTCATGATAATTATCACGGTCTTGGATTATTTATTATTATTGTATATATTTAATATTATACTAATATACTGCCTATGATTACTATTATAGACTTGTGTTTTCTTTAATACCTTACAAAACCTTAGTTGGTATCGTCAAAGTAGATATCACCATTCACCACAGATTATATTATAATATTATTATCTTTTAATCACGAGATGTAATTATTATTAACATGTAAATCAGTACAACACTATAGTCAACTATAGTGATTTCAATAATCGATACTGTCTATTATTAGATAATTATTGTTTTCCCCGAGAATAGACTAAAGACTCAATGATATAGTAGAATTATTATTATTATCATATTTTATACTTATTATGCGTGGGTTGTACTATCTATTACCAAAAAATAAAACAAAATAATTCAACATTTTGTATTTTTGTAATTGGTACAAGAAAATTATAAATTATATATAATTTTGAATTATACAGAATTTACAATATTGTGTTCATATATTATATATTTTCAATAATTTTATAATTCAAATTTGGTTGTTTTATTTTTAAGTATTTCTTACCTAGTAAATCATAAAAGTATAAGTAAAAAGTGTTGTATGACTGTATAAACAAATTGTGTTAAATAGTTGATATTATATATATCATATGCATAAACTGGAGGGGACAACTGCCCCCTTGATATTTTGTAAAATGCATTTATTAGGTATATTTAGTCTCCAAGTATCTTTAAGTAAACGGTATATTGTCATAAAATAATTCCGTCTGAAAGAAAAGTTTCATTAAAAACCGTCAAACGAGTCGTTTGACTTAAAGATCGATTTTACCGAAAGACTGCATTTTTTGGTACATCATTCGGTCGCGACTCGGTCACTTGAATGATTCGTTCATTTTGATTCGGTCAGTCGCGACCGATCCACCTCTAATTTAGGACTAAAAACCAATTTTGTAATAGATGATTATATTATTGACAGTATTTATATTTTTATGGGGCAAACTGATTGTTGTAATTTCTATAAATTGAATCTCAAATAATTTAATATTTTGATCCCCTAATACTGGACAGTACTTCTAATTTTTTGTTTCTGTATACCCAATATAATAAATTTATGTAATAATTACATATTATATAAAAAAAATATAATAATCATAATATGCTTCTCCTTCGTCTATCTCCCAATTATTTGAGGTCGACTACCCTTGTCCTAAAATTCCACATGTCTCAATTTTCTACATCCCCTATGCACACCAACATGCTTTATTATCATTTTCAACCATTTTTTCCCTTTAACGTTGATTTTCATAACCACTCTTATTGATTTTGTTTCCTCTTGCCTCATCACACACCCTAACCTTCTCAGTCTATTTTCTCTCATCTTGTCCACGATCAACAGTACACCAATACAATCTCTCCTCATTCTATCTTCTCTTGTTTCCCCACTCATCCATCTAAGCATTCTCATTTCCGCAACACTCGTACTCTGTTCTATTCTCCTGTCAATCGCCGAACCATAAAGCATAGTTGGTCTCACTACACTCCTGTAAAATTTAACTTTCAGACTCATTGGAATTCTGTTATCACACTAAACGCCCAACGTTTCTCTCCATTTCATCCAACTGCTTTTAATCCTGTTTTACATCCATACCAATGTCCCCGTTATTTTATACAAATGATCCTAAATATTTAAAGTTCTCTACTTCGCCTTTAGTTTTATTATAAATTATTATTAAATATAAAAAAATGTACATATAATTTAACAAAATAATTGAATTTTATTTATTTATAAATATAAATTAAGCTATGTTAAAATAAAATAATTATTAAATGTTTGGATAAATTACAAAATAGTTAAGACAATGTTGAAGTAATTTTTGATATTCAAAAACAGTTTCAACTTTATACTCTTCTGTACAAAATAATACTAAATTATATAGTTCAAAGCTATACATTTAATTATGAAGTTATAATTATTTAATTTATGCACCTAAAAAATGTTTGGTCGGATCTGTGGTTTTTTTACTTCCTGAATCTATTATTATTAGTCCTGTATGTATTTGAAGGAGGGGGAGTTTTAACCCTTCCATTGAGGATCTTTATACATACATTTTTACTAAGACTATACCTAGTCCACATTCTATAAAAGTAAAGCTGACTTGAAAATTCATACATTTATTCATCTTTGTTTTAACAGTGGCTATTTTCTTGATTTGATGCCTTTTTCTATTAAATTATCTCACAGTGTCCACTTATAGAAAATTATCTTTGTAAATGCAGCCATCGATATAACATACATTCACAGACATTTATTAATCATGGATATTCCAACATATATCTTCTATTGACTTCTTATCTAACATAACAATTTTGAACATTCTCCTTAGACAATTCCTGTGCTCGAGCCTTATAATTTTGTATTTACCATAGCTGTACATACTTAATCTCTGTGTTTAGTCTATTTATAAAGAGCTGTATAATTACTAAGAACATAGACTTGATTACTTACTTCATTATTACATTTTCTCATTACTTATTTTATAAAATAAATCATCATTCAATTTATTTTTTAATATACAGTCTGATATCTTAATTATTAATTTTATTAACTATATACAATAACTAAATAAATACATTTCAAAAGTGTACATTTATCATTCAAGTTTTGATATTTTGAGATGGATGAATGTTACATTTAATGAAAATGTTATTTGTTTATTAGTTTAAAATATGCAGTGTTTGGCTTGGTCAAATTACTGAAGGGGGACTCTGATTACTTAAAAAAAAAAAATGTCCCCAAGACTTATTCAGCGCTATAATTATAACTTATTAGTAGGGGGATGCTAAAATGTAATTAAAATTAGTTGGGGTACTCCATCACCCTGCATCCCCCCTCTCAATTCCAGCACTGTAAATATTAAGTAAATAATAAACTTTTCCTAAGAAATGTAACTATTACATAATTGGTATAATTTGACAGTTATTATGAAAAAAAGATAACTGTCATATTATATTATAAAAAGAAGATATACCTACAACTCAAATTTGCCTTAATTTTTAATCAAAAAGAAATAACATAAAAAAAAAATAAAAATATTTAACATTTAATTACATAGTATTGGTTTTATCTGTGGATAAAATTCTTAGTTTCTAAAAATTGTCAGTTAAATTAACAAAACATTGTAATCAAAATAGTGATCCAATTGATAATTAAAATAATATTTTATGGATGATTTTTACTTTTTTGATATCTAACAAGTATATCCATAGTATATAACAAATAACTAAAAAAAAAAAGTATAGGTAATTTTAACTAGTCGTTTTCACAATATAATTTTTAATTAATATTTTTATAGTTTCAGCAAAAGATTTATTCATTTCATAAATTTAACATTGATTTCTAAAAACTGACAGCAATTTCTATGAAATTGAATGTTGTGTACAGCAAAAGTTTATGTAACAAGTAAAAGTGAAAATTAATTTAAAAGTGTGATGTTTATCTAAAATGAATGTCTAATCATTTTATAATAACAATCTTTGTTTTACATGTAGTATGTACCAAATTGTTTAATGGCATTAAAATTAAAAAATAACAACATTTTCAACCAAAATTAATGGCTTTGCCAAAATATGCGGCTAAATTTGCTTCTCTCAATGCTTCTGAACAGGTCTGAAAAAGAAATCACAGTTTATAAATCATAGTTATATTTCATAAATTATTAAGTAAAAATTACCGGATGTGCATGACACACTCTAGCAATATCTTCACAAGATGCTCCATATTCCATTGCTAAAACAGCTTCATTAACTATTTCTCCAACACCCTGTACATTTATAAAATTCATTATTAGAAAATGTATAAGAAAATTCTTATATTTATATAAAATATTACTGGTCCAATTAAGTGACATCCTAATAATTTGTCAGTAACTTTGTCACCAAGAACTTTAATGAATCCATCAGTATCATTGTTAGTTTTAGCTCTACTGTTTGCTGCAAATGGGAATTTTCCTATTTTGTAATCAACACCCTAAAAATAAAATCATAGTTAAATATAAAAACATAATATATTGATAATTTAGGGGTAAAATCACTTCATTTTTTAAATCTTCTTCAGTTTTTCCAACCCATGCTACTTCTGGATGTGTGTATATAACTGATGGCACGCAATTGTAATCAATATGAACTGGTGCACCTGTTATACCTTCAACACAAACTATTCCTTCATCTTCTGCTTTATGTGCTAACATTGGACCATGAATACAATCTCCAATTGCAAAAATACTATAAACAGATTTAAATTGATTAATTTTAAGTTATGAATATGAAATTATAAATTATTTTACTTAGGTATAACAGTTTGGAATCTGGAATTTACAGGTATTCTTCCTTTAGCATCTCTTTCAATGCTATTTTCTTCCAACCCTAAATTTTGGGTATAAGGTCGGCGACCAACACTGACAAGTAAAACGTCACATTCTAACTAAATATTAGAATCCAATTAAAATATTTTATTAATTTCTTTAATAATAACTTACTGTTTCTTTTTTAGATGAATCTTTTGCATTTTCAACATCAACAAAAATTTGGCCTCCTGATTTGTTTGCACTAATTACTTTAGTTCCTAATTTAAAACTTAAACCTTGCTTAGTTAATATTCTCTGAAATTGTTTAGATACTTCACCATCAATACCAAGACCACCAATTGAAGGCATAAATTCAACAGCAGTGACTTTGGATCCCAAGCGACTCCAAACAGATCCCTAAAATACAACAAAATAATAATTTAAATAATTAAAAACTTGATAAATAAATATATTTATACACATAAAATATAAATATAACTCACTAGTTCAAGACCTATTACACCAGCACCAATAACAATCATTTTTTCAGGGACCTTTGAAAGTTTTAATGCACCTGTAGAAGAAACCACAGTTTCTTCATCAATCTAAAAATGACAAAAAATATGTAAGTTAAATAAAATTATTTTTTCTTTAATATGAAATTAATTTTAACCAACATCAATTCCTGGAAAAGGGGTTACTTCAGAACCTGTAGCTATAAGTATATTTTTTGTCTTAATATCTTCTGATGAACCATCTTCTTTCAATACAGATACTGTATTAGGATCTTTAATTTTGCCATGACCATTGGCCAATGTTACTTTATTTGATTTAAATAAGTGAGCAATTCCACCAGTTAGAGCACTAACTGCATTCGTTTTGGTTTTCATTAATGCTTCTAGGTTAAGCTTGACATTTTCAACTAAAATATTAAAGAAATAATATTCAATATAAAAATTTTAATTAAAAATCAAAAACATAAAATATAAATAAAATTAATAAAATTGAAATTACCTTCAACGCCTCGAGAATTCAGTTCACCAGAATGAGCCATATGATAATAATGAGAATTATTCAGAAGAGCTTTAGAAGGAATGCATCCAACATTTAGACAAGTGCCACCAAGTGTAGCATTTTTTTCAACACAGACAGTCTATACATAATATTTTTTAAATTAACAAATTATTTAATTTTGAAAAAAAACTTTTAAATAGGTATGGTACCAGTATATTTTAATTGGAAGTGCCGCTCAGAGAAAGGAACATTTGTACATTTCTGGAGCTTATACATATGCTATGGATAACTATATCCAATCATTTTCATGACATTTAAAAAATACCAAGATACCACATTTTTAATTATTCCCCAAATGATGTTCCAAAACTATCTTTCAATACAATTGTACTTTATAAGTTATAGAAACCCAACATAACAACTACTAACCATGAAATATTATCTTATTATATTAAATATTAATATACTACAGCAATACATCAAATTTTTATTTAATAAAGACGACAGTATCATATAATTATTATAATAATGTTGAAGAAAGGTCTGATAGTTTTTTTTTATAGACGAGGAGCTTGAATTAAAATTTTCATTTCCCATCATTAATACTTACATTTAATCCCAGCTGAGCAGCTTTAATGGCAGCTACATAACCACCTGGTCCAGAACCAATAACAACTAAATCCACAGAGTCCCCACTTGCATAACGGCGGTTCACAATTGAGAATAAAAAACCACAATCAGCATGATTGGATTTTCTTAATATTGTTGGCTATATTTTAATTTTAAATTTGGTATATGTTTAATGTATCTATCAATAAATATAAATTATAAATATGATATATAGATCATTACTTACCTTTACAGCTGTTGACAATTTACTTAATATATTTGATTGCATTTTGATGAAAGGCAATATAAAAGTATTATTGGTAGCAAAAAATTTTAGGAACTTCCAGTCTTTATGGTATGAAAGAAACCGAAAACAACGATGAGATTATGGGTAAATTTTTTTTGCCCTTCAAGATGTCAAAAATTCTTTCTAATCTCACACTTCTCAAACCATCGAAATAAATTGATAATATACACCGATAATATAAATACTGCTACCTTGGTATATAAAGTCAGCTGTAACTATGGGTAATCAAATCAAAATGGCTACGATGTGAATGTGTGATTACACTCGAACGTGGCGTTTACACTTTAATCGTTCTTGAATATTCAATTTTTTATAATTTTTATTTTTAATTTTTAAATTAATAAATAAATATTTACATATATATTTATATATATATATATATATATATAAATATTCAATATAACAATTACACTTAAATATTATTTTATTCTGTGATTGTATTTATCGATTTGTTTTTGAATAATCATGTTGTGGTGACCATTGATAGTATATATTTCATAGAAATTAAATTAATTTTTTAAGTATGTCGGCTTCAGGAGATTTTGGTAATCCTCTTAGGAAGTTCAAATTGGTGTTTTTGGGCGAACAAAGTGGTACGACTAATAATATTTTAATTAATTTGTACTTTTTTACATTTAGTTATTAACCATTGAACTAATTATAATAAATACATTTTTAACTTTATATTTTTTTTATAGTTGGTAAAACATCACTCATTACAAGATTTATGTATGATAGTTTTGATAATACCTACCAGGTAAATTTGAATCAATTTCATTAGACCCATTTACAATTTTAAGAAAATTATTAATAAGTAATTTTTTTTATTACAGGCTACCATTGGTATTGATTTTTTGTCTAAAACAATGTATCTTGAAGATAGAACTGTAAGTGTCTTTTTATATTTATATTTTTAATCTATATTGTGTTAGCAATTTGAATTAATACTTTTATAAATTATTATTATAAATATTTTTACTAGTGGCATATTTTGTTGGGGTAGTGTTTAAAATGATTTTTTATATAGTCTCTACAATCCTATAATATAGTTAATGTTATATTTTTCTGTAATTTCATAACAATTAGTGATAAGCAAATCCGAATTACTTAGATTTCATGAATTACCTGGATTATTCAATTCAATTTTATTGTTCAATGACTGATTTTTATAATCACATAAATTTAATTTAGGTTATGCAATAAAAATAATTTAATTAGGAATTTGATCATGGTATCGCTGTAAGTTATAGATGTATAAAATAAACTAAACATTTGAATAACTTGTTTTGGTATCATAATAAATTATAAAAACTGTTTAAGTCATGATAAGTATACTGTAATTCATAAAATATAATATTGATTTATCAAATTTTAATTATAATAAAATAAAATATATTATTTTACTAGAAATAACAAATATTTATGTCACAAAAATCAAATCTGTAAATCTGAATAAGAATTTGATTCAAATCCCAATATTCAGAAAATTTAGATCTTGAATTTTATACTTATTCCTATTTGCAAGTTACTTAGTCATTTATGACTGAACCTTTTTTTTTTCAAAACATGGTAAGTCCCCCTCCGTAAAAATGCTACTAATTATTACAAAATCATATTTTATATAAGTGCAAATGTGTTTATGTTATTAGAATTATAAGATTATATCAAACTACATAAATATAGAAGTTGTTTTACTTATCTTCAATTTCAGTGGTTAAATTTTATTGTATCTTACATTGATCATTATTAACTAAAATCAAATCAATTATCTTATTAAGTATCTAAAATATGCATGTTAACTTTTCTTTAAAAACTTGTTTTTCTAATTTACTTTTATTTATATTAAAATATTATTTTTGTTTCTCGATTATCCCAATATTAGTTTGTTTTTTCTATTTATGCATCTAGTAAACTAATTAATTATATTTTAGTTTTCAGACAATTTCAAATTTAAATATTAAGTTTTAATCTATTTTAAATCTATCTTGTATATTCAGGTGAGATTACAATTATGGGATACAGCAGGACAAGAAAGATTTAGAAGTCTAATTCCCTCTTATATAAGAGATTCTACTGTTGCTGTTGTAGTTTATGATATAACAAGTTAGTTATTAATCTATTGTGTGGATGAAATAATATATATTAATTCTATAACTTTGTTTCAGATGCTAATTCTTTTCATCAAACTTCTAAATGGATAGATGATGTTCGAACTGAACGTGGCAGTGATGTAATAATAATGTTAGTTGGTAACAAAACTGATTTAACTGATAAACGCCAAGTATTAGCTGAAGATGGTGAACGTAAGGCAAAAGAGTTAAATGTCATGTTTATTGAAACTAGTGCTAAAGCTGGTTACAATGTTAAACAAGTTAGTTATGACTTATTATAATTATAACATAGCAATTATGTATTTTCATTATGTGTTTAGTTATTCAGAAGAGTGGCGGCAGCATTACCTGGAATGGATGTAGCTGAAAATCGACCACCCGAAGACAGTATCCTTTATAAATACATTTTTACTTTTCAAGCACTGCATGATTATTTTTTATTACATTTTATGCTTTCCTGTACAAAGTATTTCTAACATCTTTAATTATAAATTGAAACTGAATATTTTTTATGTCATAAATTTAAGTATGACTTATTAAAATAAATTAAAAAAATGTTAATTTGTAACTATTCTATTTTACTTTAAATATTTATAATTAATTGGTTCTCATAATCTAAGTATTACTTTTCCTTTTTTTTTTTTTTTGCGGCATGTTTGTTTCCTTAACTATTGCTTGTTTTCAGTGCAAGAAGTCGTGCTTAAAGATACACCAAATGATGCAGCAAATCCAGAGAAGAGTTGTGCATGCTAATATATAATTTATAATTTAACTTAAATAATTGCGATCCATCCAATTTTTTCCATGTACTAAAATGAAGTCTAAAAACAAAAAAAAAAACAGAAGACTATTTTTTTTTTGTAACAGGAGAATCATTTACTAAGACAATGATTTAATATAACTGTACATAATAGTGAAGTAAGACCAATAATTAAATTAATTAATCGAAAATAAAATAACTAATTAAAAAATGAGGAACCCTATTATTATTAATTAAAATTTTTTTTAAATAAATTATATATGAATAACTAATGAAAATATTTCCACCTCGCTGAACATTCCCAGCTTTTAATGAATGCTATATTATTATTGTTTTATAAACAATTATTTTTATTTATTACATTGTTATAATTTTTAACTAATAGTAGAATGGTAAATGTAATTGTAAATATATTTTATAATTTTGAACTTTGTATTGCATTTCTTTTTTCTAACAATCCTTAACAAATGTTATAGCTGTTGATTTACAGAATCATGCGGCCAATCAGGGCGACTCGCAAGAGTCTGAAAGCAGCTGTATGTGTTAAAATGTTAAGTTAAATTTTTATACGTTTGTAATAATTTTAATGCTTTTTATACATTTAACTATGTCATATAAGACACTTAATAAATAGGGAAGTTGCAATTCTTGGGTAGAGGATTACCCCTTGTTAAATACAATATTTTAATCACCAATATCTATCTTCTAATAGGCTAGTCACTGAACAATTATTTTTATTTTGTACAGTAATATTTGATTATATTTTTGAGTTATTAATATTTCAATGTATTTATTTTATGTATTGTAGTTCATAACATGTTACTTATTGTTAATGCCCCAAATATAACTCCAAAATAGGATATAGTATATTTTCTAGAAATTTATCACATTTTTAATGTTTTATGTTGTAAATTAAAAAAAAAAATACAAATATATCATTTTATGTGAATTATTTAATACTTATTAAAATAAGAAAGTATTGATAGTGGTTTTCCTATGTTAGGATGACACAATTCAAACTTATAAAACATTATAAAAAATAAAATAATAACATTATCCATGTGGTATAAGTTAAAATTTATTAATTCAAATTAAAGGTATTAAATAATTTAATGGAAAAAAATTGTAAATAGCACCAGTTTCCACAATCAATTAGTAGTTTAAGTTTTCATATTCATGTTCACATTTTTATAAACTCAAAAATTGCAATTAATAATGTAACTGGCAAAACCATTTAACTAGATGGCAAAGTTTTATTGCAAAAATATATATTACATTACTATGTGATATAAACACACTTAATATTCATAATTTATAAATATTAAATAATACAATTAATAAATAAAATAATGAAATTGTTGAATGATGTTATTGAATAAATTATATTCAAAGCCGTGGATTTATACTTCCAGAATTTCTTCATCTTCATCAATGGTGTTTTCTTTAGAATATTCTTTTTCAAAACCTAATTTTCTTAAAAGATCTAGAAAAAAAAATGCAAGTTTAAAATATTTATATTAAACTATTGTTAATTGATATTAAACTGTAGTTTTTCATTTATTTTTAAAATAGTTGCAATTAATAATTTATTTTTCTCTAATAAAAATTATTAATATTATTAACAATAATTACATTTTAATTAGGTTACAGTGTTGTACACTTAATATATTATGAATTGTGTTTTGGGCTTGGATAAAAAATAATTGTAAAAAAAAATTTTTCTTACATTGAAATGTTATATTTGAAAGATACTTCATTGAACCAATATTATATAAGAATAGAAATTGAAATAGAATCATTACAACAAAAAAATTCTCTCATTTGAGAGAATTTATATTTAAAAAGTCTTTCATTTGGCTACTATTAACTACTTCATTATCCCCTATCAACTAGAAATAATTACAAAAACAATGAAACAATATGATTAATAATTATATTTATGTGCTTTAATAGTCAGATATTCACCATGGATAATAAATCTACATTTGAAATAAATAAATTTCATACATAAACTACTAAAATCAAATATATCATGATTATAAATCTTGTAAAAAAATATTATGTAAAATCACTAAAAAAAAAATTATCTTATGAAAACAATTAATGGGCAAGTTATTTTTTTTGAATTTATAATTATGTATTCTCGCATATGAGAAAAATTGTGAATAAATATGAGAGTAAAATATACTAAATTGAATAACTACATAATTATTACTGTGCCATAAATGCATACTTTAAAAGGTGTAAAAAAAAATAAATTACAAGGGAAATTTTTTTAATTCATACAATATTACAAAAAATAATTTAGAAGTTGTAAGCAAACATAAACACTAATTTTATCAAAAAAAAAAAAAAAAAAATTGATCAATATTCTAATAATATTTTAAAAAAATTACAAATAATTTTGTGAAAAATACTTATAAGTTTTTCTTTAGGGGAGAATGGTTTAAAAATTTCATTATTTTTGATTATGAATCAAGTACCTACCTACATTCGTTTACCGAATTTCATTTGAAAAAATATGTAAAAAAGAGGGTTGTCATAATCAGACTGATTGAAATTATTTTGATTCCTAGTTTATAGTTGGTTATGAATTCTAAAGAATAATGATAAAATGTGCAAATAATAAATAAAATAAATTTTTACAAACCTTTATCAATGTAAAAAAGTAAATTATCTTTTTGTTTAGTACGAACTAATAATTCATTCACCAATTTAATTGCTGTTTTATTATCACCTTGATTAGTATAATATTCAATCATCAATGAATATACATCTCCATACCTAAGTATATCCACACTTGGAGCTGACAAAATTTGTCGACATAATGTCATTCCTGAATCACCATCACCATTGTCAATTTGCCTAAATGATATAGTATTGAAAATTAACTAATATTAGAATACTTATGAATTTAAGGCAAACCATATAATTTTACCTTTTAATTTCAAGAAATTTTTTTACTAATGTTATTTTTTTAGCAATGTCTTCTATTAATGTTTTATACTTATCACTATCCTTTGACAAAACTTTTAATGCTTCAGATAAAGCACCTACAGCTTTGCTGTAATTGCGATACTCATCAACTTCTAACTATTCAAAATAATTACAAAATTAAGTTAGATTAACTTATATTTATAAATATTAAACATTAAATTATCTCTTTTATTGGTTTATTTGAGTTTAAGAAATTGAAATACCACAATTTTAGCCATATTACAAAGCTAGCTTTATTTTACACAGAAGTAAAGCCAATAACATGAGGAGATAAAGATTTTATCTGATCATCAGTTGTATATATTTGTGCATATACTAAAAAATTATATAAACATTCTAAACTATTATAGTTAATAATGAACCAAAATGTTATTAAATTCATATTTTCAAATTTTAAAATAGATGCTCTTAAATTAATGTTGACAAATTATTGATACTACTACCACAAATCAGTTAAAGATTTTTATAATCTTTGCTACTACTATAGCTTTATGTAATTTCTATAGGATATGTACAGTTTATGGGTCTCTCCAGTAATACTGAATTTGAGGTTCAAGTTGAGTTCATAATCTGACCATATTTTTAGGGTGGTTAGTGTTGCTGTGGTGGATTATTATATGAGTAATAAGTGGATTAATCCAACCGACTAAAAAATATAATACTGTTTATTTAGATGTCTAAGTACCTAAAGATGATTATGATTGCTAAAATAGATAATAAATAGGATAAAGTCTAAGATAAAATCATCAAGTATCAACGGATACATTGACATATACACAAAATAAAAAATAAAATGTACCATTTTCTAAATAACAATGTGGTTGTCAAAGCCAAAATCTTAGTATCAATTGATAATGCTTTACACATTAATTATAATTTTTCTATATGAATTCACTAAGATTACCAAATTGTTATTAAGAAAACATTTTATTCCTTTGTAATTTTCACAAGAGTGTGACATCTGGCAAGGTATTTCAGATAACATTTTAGTATGAATCCCAACAATAAGATATAACCATGTCAAAATGTGAACTAATATATTAATTTAGAGATTCTTACTTGGGCACAAGACACATAAAAGTTAGCCAAAAGATGAGGAGCCTTTCCTTTGTTATAAAACGATACAATTGTTTTCAAAAAATCTGGACGCTCTTGCCAATCAAGTGTTTGTAAATAATTTGCAGCCATAATATATATTTCATGCTGTCTAGAAACATTTGCATAAAATATAATTTTTTCCGTGTCTCCTGATTTCAATAACGCTTTCATGGCTTTTATCTAAATAAAAAAATTAAAATATACATTATTTTTAATATTCCAAATATTAATAGACAGAATAATGATGCCTAAATTAAAATCAAAGATGGATTTCATCAAAAAATATATCATTTTGTGGCCAAAAAAAATGTATTTCTAAATGTAAAATCTAAATACACATGTTTATTGAACTTGTATAGAAGTGTATCTTGGACAGAAGTTGATTATCATTATTTTTTTAAGTGTTTAAATTATTAAAAAATTATTTAAATTTATTTAAGTGTTTTTTCTTCTGTGGTAATGTTATAAAATTACTATAAGTTCGTCATATTAGTAGATTAAAATAGTATGAATAATCTACCATAATAGCTTCAACTATAAATATTTTTAGACTATTAAAATTATAACTAAATAATAATGGTATTAAATCTTGAATTTTCACCCAAAACTGTAGATTGCTAAAATTAGTTTTTTTTCTATACATCAGGGTGATAATAGAAGAGATGTAAGAGAATCAATATAATTAGAGGAACATGGTTTATTTTACTTCAGATTTGTTAAACAAACATTAATGTAATATTTAATAATATGTTATTTAATTTAAGTTACGAAAAAAAATGTATGTGTAAAAAAAACCATGTTTTTAAAATAATTGTATTAATAATAGTTCCATGCTTGTTTGTTTAAACATTATTTTAAATAAAAATAGTATCAACTATTATTTATTAACCTTTTGTCCAGCCTGAGTAAATTTTTTTGCTGCTATATGGTAATTTGCTTGCATCATTGCACATTCAGCAAGTTTCTCTAGTATAATTGTACGCTTTACATGGTTAGATGGAGGTGTTAAACGATCTGCAAGTGTTTCAGTAATAATAACTTTATGCTCTTGGCATTGATCTACAGCTTCTTCAAACTAAAATTTAATAAATTATGTTAAAGATCATTAAATTGATAATAATCAATTACATATACCTTGTTAGCCATTGCTAATAAGTTAACTGCATTGTCATAATGTCCTTGGGTCATGAAAAAGTTTGAACATTTTAATAATAAATTTGAATCATCTTCTATGTTTAGTTCTTGAGACATAGTAACAATAGCATCATAATTTTGATACCTAAAATTATTAAGTATGAGTGATTTGAAATGTGCTAACTTCAAAATTTTTATAACTTAAGTAATTTGAGCTGTTTGAACTGACTTAAATCATTATAGGCCATATAAACTGCTAAAAACGAATTAGTAAAATAAAAAAAATATCAAAATCTACGACCATTCCAAATGTAATAAATAATAATGCAAATACAAAATTTAGTTTTTTTGTAATTGTGATTTTTTTATTTATTTACTTAATAATAATAACGGGCGGAGCCCAATTTATATAAATGCAAGTTTTGATAAATACATAATAAATAATTTAAAGATATAAAATATTAGGAGAAAAAACAAAAGAAAACAACAATAAGAAAAAAATTAGAAGATGAATGATAGATCTTCATTTGCAATTTTCATCATTCTGGAGAGTGGTTAATTTCTTAAATAATTGGTTGAGCAATGTGATACAAGAAAATATGCATTATTGCGAGTGTTTCTAAAAGATATATTTATATTAATAAATGCAAGGAGAAAAGGGGAGTCAATAGAGCCAGAGAAGAGTTTGCAAAGAAAAAATAAATTATGTTAGTAACGATGATCGAATAGGGAGGAGTGATGTAGAAAATGGAGGATGAGAGTATAGTCATGAGGTTTGCAAGTAATGTTGAAGTTAAATTTAACAAAGCAAAAGAACCTTTGCTGGACACATTCAAGCTTCTTGCAAGCCTCAACGGTCTTAGGATCCCAAACTCACAGAGCCATATTCAACAATAGGCCTGACAAGTTCACAAAAAATTGTTTTAAGAGAGTTGGAAAGTTTAAATTCATTAGCTATTCTTTTAATAAAACCTAAAACCTTAAGTGCTTTACAAGTGATATTATCAATATAAACTTGAGGACAAAAGGAAGGAGTAAAGGTAAATCTGAGATCACATATGCTAGAGACAATAGGACACAGGTTAATTCCATTAATGGAGTATGATTAAGAAAACGGAAATTGGCAATAGGTGAATGTCATATATCTTCATTTATTAATGTTAAGAGTTAACCCAAGTGATTCGGACCAAGCGACAAAATTATCATGATCATCTAGTAGGTAATGAAAATCAGTTATTGAGTTAACTTTCATAAATAATTTCATGTCATCTGCAAAGCATAACAGCTGGCAATGTTTAAGAGATAAGCAAGCACTATTTATAAACAGCGAGAATAGCAAAAGGGAAAAATATCCACCTTGAAGGACACCAGAGGAAAGGTGAAACACTTCTGATTTGGTATTAAATAATTTTACCCATTGTGCAAAATAAATCAGAAATTAACTTAACCAAGAGAAAAGAGGATCGCCAAAACCATATGCTTTTAATACTACAGTTAGGACCGCATGGTTAACTGAGTCATACGCCTTTGTGAAGTTTGTATGAATAGCATCTACTTGATTTCCTTATCTTAACGCATTGAATGAGTAATTATAAATAATTTAAACAAAAAATGCTCTTTTAAACTATTGTTTATGACAAAATTCAGAATGGTCAAGTATTGAAAAATATTAAATAATTTTTTTTTACTAATTATTGTTTTTAAATAGTGAATTAATATTTTTTATCCAACTACAATAAATTAATTTTTTTTACACATTTAAAATAAAATAAATAGATAAGAAAAAAAATGTTGTCTTTTCATAATTTTAAAAATGTGTAATAATGCTAACATATTTATTGTAATACAATACTATTTTTTAATTAGTTTCTGTTTTTAGATATTTTTTTTTATAAAATCTATGAATTATTTACAGAATATAATTATATTACTTACTTAAATGCTAAATCAATAGCTTTATGTAAATAACCAGCTTGATGATAAAGTACAACTGCTTTATCAGGTGAAATTTGTTCAAAATATTGGGCTACACCTAGTTTCTCTCTGGTATCGGCTAATAAAGCTATATTCCAAAGATGGTTATCAAAAAATTGCTCCTAGAAAAAGCAATTAATTAATTAAAAACAGAATTGTATTAATTAGAAATTAGACATTTACTATTATATAGAGAACTATATGAAATATATCTTACCTTGCATAAACGGATAGCATTTACATACGCAGTGGCATCAACATACATCTTTACAGCTTCTTCATATAGTCCTTGTACTTCATATGACCTAGCAAGATGACAACAAGCAGCTTTGTCACTAGTGTTCATACAAATTTGAGCTGCTTGTTCTAAATTACCAAGATAACAATATATACGGACAGTGGATAAATGATCATTTGCTTGTTGATAATATTTAATTGCACTATCCATGTCACCACAGCCTTCTAAATATTGAGCCCACCATTTTAATAAAACTCTACAAATTGAATCAACAAATATTTTAATAATAGTTTAAAATAAGTAATTACAAAAAAATACAATTATCTTACGGATTTTTATTTTTTATAATGTAATTTTCCAAAGTGACAGGATCATCTAACAACATCTTTGGTATAGCAAATCCATGTGTTTCAGATTTGCAATACATAGCAGCTGCACCAACTACATCTCCTTTATTTTCAAAATTCCGACCTACATTAAAATATGTATTTCTAAGATGTATACGATCTTTTGTTTCAGCTACATCTAAAGATGCATTTATTTCATTTCGAGCTCTGTAAAATCTATTGAGAAGATCATAGCGATTACAGCATTTATAAAGTTCCTCAGCTTCATCCTAATAAGTATATAAATAAGAAAAATTTAAACACTACAACAAGATAAAAAATACACTTACATACATTCCTAGATGAGCCGCAAGACAAGCTATTTTTGCATCTAGCTCCTCTTTATTAATTGAACGTAAAATTGCTACTCCTCTACAATCTTTCATATGCCCAAGACATATTTCTGCTACATCTAATCGTTTTGTTTTTACACACATTTTAGCTAAACTTATCCAAACGGCAGAACTATAGAGTATATATAAAGAAAACTTTAATTTCAACTATGATGTAACACTAGTAAAATAAAAACCTTTTAATATTGCTAATAAAATTGAAAGCAAGATCTAAATCCCCAAGACATAGATTATAACCAAAATTAATGATAGCTGCTCGAATATCAGAATTACAGTTTTCAATACCTTCAAACTCCTTCATGAGTCGGCGTTCAATTCGTATTTTCTAAAAAATAAATTATATATTTATTTTAAAATATGAAAATATAAATGTATAATTTTCAATTATTATTTGTAGTAAATATGATTTTAATTACAGCATTTGTATTATGTTTGCATGATATTATATAATAAGGAGCATCAAGTCCTAATAAAGCATAAAATTGATCTGGACAATGAATAATATTCTGAATTTTAATACCTTTATGTTCTATAAAGAACATACTGAGGATGATCTAGACAAAAAAAATATTAGTATTAAAATTTTAAGTATAGAAAAAGTGATACAACATACCGAGGAACCGTCCAACTTTTTTTTTTTTCTGTTTATATGCTGTGTATAAACTTGGTTTTAGTGATTTTTTTTCAGGTTTGTCAATACTCTTAGCTTCACAAAATAATAAATTTAGCTCATTTGTATCCCAATAATGAGAAACAATAAATCTTGTATCAGTATATTTCCTATAAATGTAAGTTTAATTATTTTATTTTATAGTAAATTTATTAAATATTATTGCGATATAGCAGTTACATTTCATCAATATCTAAACCATTATCAAAATGTTTTACATATATTGTATCCAAATCTCGATCCCAAACATATAATCTTGCCATTGGTACTAAATTTAAGTTGGCTGCTGTAAATGATATTTTAGTACCATTGCTATTTAAACGCAATTGAATAGCTTCACCAAAATCAGTTATATCTATTGTTAAATCTTTTGGTTTGCACATGGATTTTGCTTCTCTAAAAATAAAATAAAAATATTATATTTGTTTATAAAAGACATTTATATAAAGATATATTTAAATTACCTTCTATTCAAATCCCAGATGTGAATAATTCCAGACAATGTTACAACCGCTAAATAGTAATTATTTAAACTGAGACAAACTATTGGTGTTTCAATATCCAAAGTCTGTTTAATAGTACCTTGAAATGTTCTTATTTGTAATTTACCACTATTTTCAGCAACAATTAAAATTCTATCATAAATGCATGCTTCTTGTACATCGCAATTAAACATTCCAACCATAACTGGTAATTCTTCAGTTTTTGTGTTATAAACTGATATTGATTTACCTTTAAAATTTTGAAGTAGTAAAAATTAACTCATATCAAACATCAAATTTATATTTACCATTCCATAAACAAATATGCTCCTTAGATAAAGCTAGACCTATTATTTGGAAATCAGTGCTAAAATTAAGTGGTTCATCTTTACAACAGTAAAATATATTAAGGGTGTTAGCGGAAATTTGTACAACACCCATTTCTTCTTTATAACTAGCTAACAATGCATGTTCGCGTAAAATATAAATTCCATTTATTGCATGTACTGCAAGATTTAATGGACCCCAAGTACAGTGTTTTATACTATCTTGGATTTTACAAGACCCTTGAATAATCCACTGGTCCTCGATTTCTTCATCAAAACGCCAAATAATAATATTCCCAAGATTTGTAGCAGCGCATAATAATCCTACAAATAAAGAAAATATAATTAATACATTTTCAATGCAACAAAAAAAAAAAAATTACCTTTTTCTTTTGTGTAAGAAATATTTATAAATGTTTGTTTAGGAAATGAAGAAGAATAAGGAATTTGTGCAGATATAACATAACTATTTCCAGACTCAATGTCCCAAAAATGAATAAATAGATCATTTGTGGTACATGCTAATAACGATGGACCCGTCCAAATTATACTAACATCTTCTTTTAATCCATTTAATTTAACCTAAATAATGAATAAATTTCCAACAATTAACATACATCATTAGAGTTTTAAAAGTGTAAAAAATATAAAATGTATTAAATTAGTCAAATAAAAATTTAAAATTTGTACATTGATCAATTTTATACATCAAGTTTAAAAAGACATACATACACTTTTTTTAATCATATTATTTAAATACATTTATATAAATTGATAAATATAAAATCATTAAATTTAAGAAATGATACTTAATAAAGGTCTTAATCAGTATATAAATAAACAGAATATTTAATTTTAAAAATTTTAATAAACCAGGACCAGATTGGAAGATATTTAATCTACAGAATTTCAATATTTTACTAACCCGTCAAAAAAAAAAAATATATATATATATATAATATTTATATGCATTAATTAATTTATATTCTATTTATATTAGTATAGATTAATAAATATACTACCTGAACATTTAATAACAAGTAACAATTAAAATTATTTTTAACTTTACATGAAACCAAAATAAAATAAAAAAAAATTTTTAACTAAATTTAAGACAGTTTGAATGTAAATTCATTAACATATTCAGAGTGTAGTTAACTATGCTTCTAGTACAATACAAATTAAACACTAATACTGGTACTAACAAAATTGGCATGGTTAATGAGTTATTAGTAGGGCTCGGATTTCAATGCATTTGCATCTTTTTTTTGGAATGTCTTACGCGATGCTTTCCAAGCTACAAATTTGTTTTAGATTCTCCGTGTTTTACCCACAAACATTTTTGGCATTTTCAGCAGATTTTATACTTTTTAGAGCATTTTTTGACTTTTTAATGCATTTTTTTTTATATTTTAGGACATTTTAGACCTATTTCTCGTATTATGACTAACTTTAGTTGATGTTGAGAGGTCATTTTCAGTGTATAAAAACTTATTGGTAGACATCCGTCGATCATTCAAATTCCAAAACTTAAAAGAAATATTAATCGTACAGTGCAATTCAAATATGTAATTAAATTTTTTTATTTTTTGTAGTGTAATGTTAATAAAATTTCATTTTTTTATAATAATTTGAATTTATTTAATAAATGATGCAATTTTTGATATTTTTAGGTCATAAATGCATATTTTGAAAGGGCATTTTTTTGATATTTTTAGGGAATTTAAATTCGAGCCCTAGTTATTAGTAATGGCTTATACAAATCATGCACTAAAAAAAATAAGTACATGGTAAAATCAAGTAGAATAATTCAAATTTCAAAATCAAAAATTAATTTAAACTCTCAAAATTTCATTTTATTAAAAGTTTGAAGTCATCTAAATTGTATTTGAGTTTTACAACTTGACTGTACTGTAAAAATAATGGAAGTTAATTTTATTTAATATAATTACTAACTTTTGAAACTTCAGTTAATGAACCTTTTTTATGACATTTATAATAAGCTACAGTTAAGTCCTTGCATACTAAAATACAAATGTCTTTTGATTCATGACATAAAATTCTTAGAATTATTGACTTGGATATAAGTATAATTTTAAATTCTCCATCTTCATCGAAATAATATAATTCTCCTAAGAACAAATTATAATTTCTAGTACTTCTAATTACAAATTATATCTGATGAAGAGATTACCTGACTTTGCAGCACAATAAAATGTTATATTATCTGTAGTAACTGTCCGTGGACAGTGTGTTGTTGTACGAGGGCGCCAAGAACTAAATATATCTAAAGCACTTTGATCACCAGCTACTGCCATTTTAGCTAAATTAGAAATATCAATTGCAGCTCTTCCTGCTCTAAATGCAATTTCTTTCAATAAAAGAGCATTTACATTTGATTTAAATACCATTTTCAGTAACCCTCGGCTATCTGATTTCCAACCAACTATTACACCAGTCTATACCAATAACATTAATCAATTATTATTTTCATGATAAATTAATAATTTAATTTTTTTTTTTTTTTAACCTGATCACCAGTTACTAAACAACCTCCAAGTGATGACCATTTTGAAAATACAATAGGTCCTTCGTGGAAAGAATCTAAAGTAGTTACTAATCCACCATTCCAAATACAAATGTCACCACTGTTTGAACCAATAGCTAGGGTACGCTGAGTAGGATGCCAACAAAATGAAGTAATGTGACCTTTACAAATATTTGGACCAGAATTGTGCAAATTTTCACCCTGTAGATAATAATATGAGAAGGTGTATGTTGAAAACTATGCAGTAATACTCACTAATTCATCACAAATTAGAATTTGTGCTTCATCATTTTGAGTATAAGATAGAATCGCCAATAAACCAAGTTGGCGATGATAACTTATACTAGTGGTTACATTATTCTGATTAGTTTTTATTTTGTATTCAAGGTACAGACTCATTTTCAAAATTTTTAAAAAAAAATCTGATACCATATAGTAGACGCCAAGTCTAAATAACTATGACAACCAAATTATACAAACATAATGATTTTGTATTTACTATTAACAGACATTTGATTATATATATATATATATATATAAAAAATATTTGTCTATTCATTCAAAGAATATTCATCATTCATTTACATAATTTTTTAAAATAAAAAAATTAATTTATAATATTAGTATAATAGATACTTTAAACTACTTAATACATTTAAAGGAAATTTTTTAATAATTTTGGATGATTCAAATTAAATTGTTTAATGTTTATTATAATACAGAACAGTGGGGATAATAGGTTATACAGTATCACCACAAACTCATAATAAAATATCCCAAAACTATGCTTTAATAAATAAACAAAATATTTTTTTTATTTTCAAATTTGATAACTTACAATTTTTATAATTATAATGTAATATGTATTTTATTATTGTAAACTTTTCATGTTTTGTTTTATAAATAAATCAAGTTTCAATTTAAATAATTCACTTTCAATGGGTTGCCCCATAGTACATTCAGTGTTTTTAACAACATACTCCACATAAATCTGAAATAAAAAAAAATACAGTTAAATATATTTAAGTTGTTAATTAAATCTAGATAACATGGAATTTAAAACACAAAATAATTAAATATTTCAATAAGAATTTAGAATAATTTATTTTTAAGTTCCTATAAATTCTATAATTTAAAAATTAATTAATAACAACCATTTTAAGATATGGGCATTTACAACTCTTTATAATATAAATTAATTAAGAACATAATTGAATAAAAGAAACAATAAAGTTCCATCTTACTTCTTTATATAACTGATGCAATAAATCTCTAACATTTTTTACTGAAATATCAGTGTTCAATATAAATTTAACACCAGTTAAAGACTCATAGTAATGTAAAGCATATTTATTAGTCTTGTAACACAGAAACCCACGTTTAGGATCCAGTGGTGATATTTTAGAAACAAATGACTTGATAGAGAATAACATACCATACATCAATTTGGCTTCCTATAAAATAATAAATAAACTTATCTGCTTGTAGACAAATTTAACTTTTAAATTAAAATTCACTTCTTCACTACTCATGCCAGATTGTTTGAGACGATTCCAATTTGTATGAAATAATAATGTACCCATTCGATCAAAAATATAAATGTTGTAAATGGTCATTTTTAAACATTAAATAATTACAAAAAAACTTTTACATCCTAGGATATAAAATTAATTAATTTATACGTTAGAAGAGTTCGAATGAAAACTGAATATTAAAGATTTTGAACGAACAGATATATAAATATAAATATATAAATCTGCGATTGAAGTTAAATTTTCACAGATACATCTATGATTTTTATTTTATATTCTTATCAGTTTTGGACATTTGCTGATAAATGAAACTCATGGTCCACAACAGGGGTAGCCAAATAGTCGATACTAATCTACCAGTCCACCGCACGATTTAAAAGATTAAAAATATTCAGTTTATACTTTTATCAGGGATTTAAATATATAATTATATATTTAAGAACATAGAATTATATACATATTTTAATCAATGAAAATTGAAAATAACGTCTTAATTCATGATTTATTGTTACCACTTCCCATTATTTAAGATCGTATTATTGGATTCGTTCATAATTGTTGGGTATCATTATTGTAATTAAAATGTTTGTCGATGTTTTTTCAAATCAATCGTATTAAAATTATTTTCGGTCGATTTCTACTAAAAAAAAAGTTATGGCCGTCCGTTGTCTTTAACGAACTCATCTAATAAAAATAGTTTACAATAGCCAAGGGTGTATTTGAGGAGGAGGGAGCATTCAACCCCCATGGCTCGTATTTTTTTTTTAATATAAAACATTGATTTATTTAAAAAAATGTAATGTACAAATAATTAAGAATATAAATTACTATTTTATCACTATGATATGATAATAAATTAGATAATATAGTAATTTAATAAATATAAATTATTATTCATAAGATATTATTGTATCCATTGATGAAATAATAAACAATTTTGTCAAAATGAAAAAAAGAAATTTGAAATTTGTTATTTGACTACTATAGCGAACCTCGACCTGAAAGGGTTGAGCTCGTACGATTGTTTAATGACGGAGAACTCGCTGTTGACTGGTAGATGGAAAACTTCAGAGGTTGAGTTAAAATATACGAACGTTTAATGAATGTAAGACTTTATTAAATCAACTAAAAAGTACAATGAAAACTAACACTTTAAATACTAAAGTAATTTATGGTTCAGCCGCAAAGAGTGAAATATAGACTACGTGTTGAGGCGAAGACACAAGTTAGTTATGCCCTAGTATACAAACGTATCCGTATATATACTAGTGCTACTCCTACGTTACGTGCTTCTGGAAGGTCGACAATAAAGAAAATGGAAATTTAATAAGGAAATAGGAAAAAAGAAAAAAGACTCATGGGTGCCGAGGTCTCCATGGCCTCGGGTAGTCCATAAGGTATTACCTTCGACGTGCTCGCACTACCCAAAGGTTTCGTAACCCGGATAGGATTACTATGCTTGCAGTCGACGTTCTTGTAATATCTATGGGATTGTTACACTACACACCAACCTTATGTTTTCTATTTAGATATTTATTAAATGAAGTTACTTATCTTAATTTTTTTTTTTTAAATTTTCAAAAATTAATTAATAGGTACTATTACTACTATGACTATTTATTGATTTTTTTTTTACAAGATTTACACTGAAGGTACAATTTTAATATAGGAACTATTTGTGTCGTTATTATTAATACTTATTTTATATGCAGTAGGTTTTAAATATATTTATTAAATAAATATTTAATTCAATTTGGTACTTGTATTTTTATTTATTTAGGTACTCGAATGAGCAACAGGAACATGAGCTGTAGGTAATGAACTGTAAATTATTTTTAAGTTTGTATAGAAGAAAAATTAGTTTTTCCCCCATGGCCTCAACTCAAATACGCCCTTGACAATAGCTAATTGTTGATTTATTAATAAAAATGCATTTAAATTAATAATTATGTATAGTTTACGGACTTTTATACATCTTATGAGTAAGAATTATAGAGGAGCCAGAAATAATATAGAAGTCAGAAATCTGGTAAATAGTTGTATATAGGTAGTATTATTTTAGTAAAATAATCAAATACAGAACACAAGGTGTACGAAATAGAAATAGAAATTAAATATTCTCTTCGATTTCGTAGATAATGAATTCATTGCCAATTACTACCTATCATGGTAAGATTACTGAAGTCCAGTAACTGGACTTAGCTGTTTTGACTGCAGACCACGAATTAAGATATATATATATATATATATATATATATATATATATTAAGATATCTTAATTCGTGTAGCAAACTGATATCCTCCCGTAACTTGCCATTTAATATCAATATTAAAATATTTTGACGTATACCACAGTACATAATATTTATATTACATAATGTTTAGACGAAAAAATGTAATGATATTTAATACGGCATAATAATTATACTTAGAATTATACATCATCATGAAACAAATTAAGTAGTTAATTTCATACTGGCCACTGTGATATGATCATGGGTAAGGTGACCATATGTCCCAATTATCGTATTTTCATTCCGTGTCTCCCGAGGAAATTTTGGGACATTAAATGTCCCTTATTTCGAAAGTAGTAAAAAATAAGGATGATTAATTTAATTTTTTTGATGAATTATTGTTTTTATTATATTTAACTAATAAGTTATTTAGTATTTAATTAGTATGTGTACATGCGACGTGTATACACTGTATTAATGCATGGTGGATGAGTGACAACGGCGAATAGCAGGGGCTGAGTATGGTGTATCGGGATGAATAACTAAACCAATAAAATATAATGTTTACATATATATTATACATTATATATAATATAATAAGCACCGCAGTATCAGCACAAACATAAAATTATTTTTCATTGTTCATTATGAAATAAAAGAATTCCTTAATTAAAATAACTTTATAGTCAATAAATAATTCTAATGATTCAGTTCGTGTTCAGCGCCCGACCGTGCAACACGTTTGTGTCGCTCATTACCGCATTTATAGCTATCGATAGCAGTAACACGCATCATTCGATTCAACGTGCAGGTAATATGATTATCGTTTTTACGTTAACTATACCAATTAAATAATATCTCAAACCCAATGGGTGATAAGCCTATTTTAACAACCGATATGAATAATTCCAACAGTTCTTCACAACCTACACACAGTAATAAGACATTCGCTGAAATAACTTCAAATACTAGTTTACCTAAAATGAATCAAGCTATCGTATTTAACTCCATAAATAATATCAAACAAATCGATTATGTCACCGCAATCAGCAAAACTATTCCCGCAAAGAATATACAATTTGTTTCGCGTATTTCCAATAACAGATTTTGCGTCTTCTTCAATAGCCAAACCGTTATGGAAAATTTACTTAAGATTCAGTCATCAATTCAAGTTAATGGAATAGAAATCCCAATTCGTAGACTTATTAACACCTCTAAGAGAATTATTTTATCAAATGTTTACCCGACTATCCCAAATCAACTCATAATAGACGCTCTTCATGAGCTAGGAATCAAAACTGTTTCGCAAATTTCTCACATGAGAGCCGGATTCGCCACTGAACAATTTTCTCACATATTAAGCTTTAGAAGACAAATTTATATTAGTCAAGATAGCATGTCCAAACTACCTAGCTCCATCACTGTTACAATAGAGAACACAACGTTCAGAATATTTATCACTGATGACACGGTAACATGTTTTCAATGTCACCAAACTGGTCACTTCTCAAGCCAATGTACAAATAAACCCAATTCAATTAATGTTACTGAACAAACAGAAACTGAAATGGAAACCCTTATAGACCTATCATCAACAGCCAACAATATAATAAATGTATCTTGCCCTTTACCTATCACCAATGCTCAAAAAGTTAATTCCTCCCAGGATAGAGACACTTCACTTATAAACCTATCCGTTGAAAGTACCAATGTCACTTCTTTGGAGCAGTCTATAAAACCTACACTAGCTGACAAACTAATATCGTCAGCTAACTTAAATACTAAAGTAAAGTCTCTTCAGACAGGAAAACGCCCAGCTCCTTCTACTGTAACTAATTCTCAGCCGCCTTCACCTACATCATCAAGCTCGTCTCTCCCATCCAGCTCACCTCCAATCGTGAGGCCCCCTAATACACAAGACGGCCAAACTCAATCAGCAAAAATAACCAAAGGAATTACAAGCAAAAAACTAAAAACCGGGCCTAGTTCCAGCTCTAATGATGAAGTTCTTACAAACATCGATGAATGGTTAGAATCTACTCATGAACTCTTTAACACACACCCTGGTTTTTCCTTAACCTATAACAGATTGTCAATTGGAGCTTTTAAAAGTAGCCCGATAATAAGTTTGCTTTCCCTGACTGGAGAACCTCCACTTCATTTCCGTAGACTTAAGTTATCTCTTAATTATATAGCTCGTATCTTATCTACACCAAATAATTCAACCATTCATTTTCTAAATAAAAATCGTTTCTCCAATATATACCAACATAATCCTAAATTAAGAAAACCATTAGGACTTAGACTACAGCAAGAGATGATGGAAATTAATATTGTAGCCAATGAAATATGCCAACGTGAAAACTGCCAGATACCTACTTGGAAACAACCTAATTTCCGAGTTGATACAAGCCTAACAGTTCACTCGAAAAAAGAAACTTCAAATATTATCTACAACAATTTATTCAACGAACTTATACATAGTTCCAGTACCAGTACTCAGATCTACACCGATGCTTCTAAAACAGAAATGGGAATAGGACTTGCAATAGTTCACCTCAACGAAACTAAGCAGTTCAAACTTAACATTTACAACAGCATTTATACAGCTGAATATCTTGCTTTATATAAAGGAGTCCAATTAGCTCTACAGATTCAAGATACTAAAATAGATATATGTTCCGACTCACTCAGTGCCTTAGCTAATCTGCAATCAATAACACTTTCAGAGCCATTGGCTATACTAATTAGCAACCTTCTTTCAAAATCAAGCAAAGATATTCAATTCATATGGATCCCTGGTCATTGCAACATAAAGGGAAATGAAAAGGCTGATGAAGCAGCTAGAAATGCAATTATGAGTCCAAACAGTGAATTAATCCCCTTTTCCTCACTTGTTGACATAAAGAGGAATATAAATAATTACTGCGTTGAATGGTGGAACTCAAAATGGCACAACACCACGGAAAACAAACTTAGAGAAATTAAACACTCTGTTGAACTCTGGCCAAAATTCACCGACCTAAATAGGAAAAATGAGGTAATTCTTAATCGCTTAAGAATCGGCCATACCAAATTCACACACGGACATCTCATGGCTAAAACAGATCCACCCCTATGCCCAACATGCAACATAGACTACTCTATTAAACACATAATTGTCCACTGCCCAAACTTTGATGCAGCCAGAAGAAACTTCAACATCCCTGATAACTTGTATGATGCTATTGGTCCTTTTTCTAACTGGCGAAACACAATTTTATACCTTAAAGAAATAGAATTGTATAACAGCATATAACAAGTTGTTTATTTGTAATACTTGTTTATAATTGTTTATAATCGAATTGTCCATTAACTTATAACTCCGTAAAATGTAAAAATGTAATAACAGTTAAGCTAATAACCTTGTAGTTGATGCTTAAACAATAATAAAAAAAAAAAAAATTCTAATGATTACCTATGTACACGTATTTATAATTTATTAAACTTATTGTAGAATAAAAATTATAGTTGTGTATTTGTGTATTTTTCATTTAATACAGTGATTCTTAATCTTATTAGGACCGCGACCCAAATTTTTTTCTAAAAATCTATCGCGACCCCATAGTTTTACATTTACAAAATCAATAAAAATAATTTTTAAAAAACAAATTTTTTCTATTTTATTACCTACTTATTGACTGCCTTATAATAATAATAATAATAATAATATAATACTTAATTAATTAGGCGTGTGTGATGAATGTGCTTATTTCTTACAAACTGTATAATTAAAAAAAAAACTTCACGCGACCCCCTGGGGGGTCGCGACCAACAGTTTGAGAAACACTGATTTAATAAAAATAAAAAAAATTGGAATTTTGAGTTATCATGGATTAAACAATAATACATGGAAGAAAAACGTTTTGAATAATGTGTAAACATTAAGCAAATATTTCAGGACGGCCATTTTGTCATACGTTTTCCCTGTTCAGTCGTTTGTCGTTCAATTCTTTTTGAAGCATAGTTATTTGTCTATTTGAATTGCGATGGTTTTTGAATGTCTTAAATATTTTTTGTATGTGCTTAGTTAACATTGTCTATTGTTGTTGACCGTCTTTGTTTATTGGGATAATTTACCCTTTTATGATTTCAAGTATTTTATTTTTAAGTTCTACATTGCTTTCATTACTTTTATGTTGGAAAAATAAGTATAATAATATCATTATTACTCATTAATATTCAGCATTGAGAGAAACTATTTAAAGTAAAAGCAATTTTTTTTTTGAAATGTTACTTAATATATTTTATATTATTATTGTATTATGTTGGTATGTAGATAACTAAAGATGAATCAGCAGCAACCACAACAACAGCAGCAGCAGCAACAACAACAACAACAACAACAACAACAACAACAGCAGCAGCAGCAGCAGCAGCAGCAGCTAAAACAAGAACAACCTTCACCAACACAGCCACAAATTAACGAAGACCAAAAAAGATCAAATGAACAAATTGATGATGAAAATCAGTCTAATGAAGGATTTGTTGTGAAAATGCGTGGTCTTCCATGGTCAGCTACGGCTGATGATATAATCAAATTTCTTAGCATATTAGGTATTTGACTTTAAGTTTATTATTAATTTTAGCATATTTGTTGGTATTTTGAGATAAATTTTAACTCTAGGTATAATGTATTGCGTATAAAACCTTAATATCTTTATTTCATAAAGATTTTTATGGCTTATTGTTTTAAAATATTTTACAACCAGATATAATTCAAGACCCATAACTATTTGTACTAATAAATGTTGTATTGTATTGAATTTTTAGAATTGAAACTAGATTGGTTGTAAAGCTTTCAGATGTATTTTATGCTACTTTTAATATAAATATTAATTTTTTATTTCTAGAAGTTTCTTTGCTTTTTTATGATTTTTTTTTTCCGTAAATGAATTCCTGCCTATGACTAATGAAATTAAATTCATTAATTAAAATTATTTATTGCATATTAATTTTAATTGTCATATATATTTAATGTTTAGGTGAAGCAAAAGTTAGAGGTGGAACTGCAGGAGTACATCTTACTATGGCTAGAGAAGGACGTCCTAGTGGTGAAGCTTATGTTGAAATGGAATCTGAGGAAGATCTTAAGGCTGCACTTAAAAAAGATCGAGAACATATGGGCAATCGTTATATTGAAGGTGAAATTATAATTTATTATTATAATAATACAAACGTGTACAGAATGTCTCATTGTGTTATACTGATTTTTATATTAATATATAGTTAAAATATAGTTAACCTGTCAGTAGGCGCGTGTATATTTGTAACACAGTTAGGTGCGTATGAGCGCGGCGCTCACTTTCTCAGTTTTTACTAATTAATGTTGTAAATCGAACTGTAAATGTTAATTTTTTATGGGTTATTAATCAAGATCACTTTGTTTATTTATTATTAATAGATGGTAGTTACAATACTTAATTAAAACTTATTACAATCAAAAAACTAAGATAGAAATCTCTGAAATAAAAATTAAAAAATACATAATTATATAATATAATTATTGAAAATTTATAAATCATACTTGGAGTTGAAAAATTGAAATAAATACATTATAATTAATTATAGTTAAAGTTTTAAAAAATAATAATACTTGGAGATGAAAAGTAAAAAAATTAATGTACATACATAGGTAATACATATCAGTCGCGTATAAGCGCGCTGCTCACTATCGGTACTGACAAGTTTAATCAATTGTCATTTCAACACAAGACTATGGATTGGGTTATTTTATTTTTAGAAAAGTGTCCAGATAAGATAACATAAGGTATACGTAGTTTTCAACAATTTAAAAATTAAATTGAAACCATTGGTAGCTAAACTAATAACGGAATGAGCACCGCTCATACGCGACTTCTGACGGGTTAAAAAAAAAAATTTTTTTCTCAATTGTATTTTGTATAATGGGAACACATTTATAACTAAAATACATTTTTTATATTCAACCCTGGATCACTTTATATAATTAATTATCCAGTTGTTTTCATTGTATAAATTTCAATATAGTCACATTGTGTAAGATATTATTCTAAACATTTTAATGAAATATTCATAAATATCTGATGAATATTTTCTGAGTAAAAGCTATTTTAGTTTCTAGAAAAGTGGTATGAAGAAGTATTTAAGTTGTATTGTTATTAACAGTAATAAATATAAATTATTAGTATTGCTTTTACATTACGCCACCTTGAATTACTACAATCATGAAATTCCGATATGAATAGAAGCATATCATAAGCATCATTCCAGATAATTTGTACTTTCAAACAAACCAGTTTTTATTATAAAATCTATAACATTTTATGTAGAATTATGTATGTATGTATTGTATAATTAATAATTAATGCTATTACTAATAGTTTATATTTATTACTGTTAATAAATATTCAACTAAAAAATTTTCTTACCTACCTCTTTAGAAACTAAAATGGCTTTTAATTAGGAAATATTCATTGGATATTTACGTATATTACATTTAAATTTTTAGATTAATATGTACATTGTTGACTATATTGAAATTTTTATAGTGAATCAATCAAGAAAGTTATTGTTTTAAAGTGATTTGTGGTGAAAATAAAAATTGTGTTAATAATTATATATGCGTCCTCTTTACACAATGTTACATTAAAATTTAAACTTATATATTTCAATATTAATTGAAATAATAAAAATTGGTAAAACATGGTAAGAGACTGTATAACTCATAAAAAATGGTTAAATTCTTCATTATTAAAGTAGCTAGATGTGACTTAAGATAGTTATCAATTATTCATATTATACATTTTAACGATAAATACAGTTATATAAGATATATACAATTATATAAGATTTTGTGAAATATTACAATTTTAAAAATAACTCACTAAATTATTAAAATATAATAAATTTATGACAAGACAGATAATGTTATTTTTTTTTTAAGCTTGGCAATATGTCAGTTTATCTAACTTATGTATATTAAAATTAATTACACAATTTATTTCATTACATACTGATTTGTTATATTGTATATTTTTAAAACTGATAATATATGTGGGAGTAATATCCTTTTAATACATAAGCAAGTTAAAAAAAAAAAATTATCAGGTTCAGAGCTATTATCAGGGATGAAGGCAGTTCTTGTTGTCTTATATTCTTAAAATTGTTGTTATTTATTATTTATATCACTAAAATCTGAAAATCTGGAAGTAGTTAATAATAGGTTGATAAGTGGATAAGTTAGTTAAGAAAAAGGTTGATAATTATTAGAAAATAAACAGAGTATATAGCAGATTTCTAGTACCTGCAGCTTCTTAACATGCAATTTTTAACTCTTTGGAAAATATATTAATATCGAGACCCAAAAAATATAAATTATATTATACGTTATAGTGATAATATTTTTGAATCTTAATAACGATTATTTTTTTCAAGTAAAAATAAAATAATATTTTATCGATAGTGACTTCACAATATTTTTTAACCTTATCGCACAATTAGTTTTATGGTGTATATAATATATATGTATGTGTCTTATCTAGTATACTTGATTATTATTATTTTGTATATTATTATATTATAAATCGATATGTGAATTCATAGGTCAATTCTATCAGTGCAGTATAGTTCGGTAATTTTTTCTTGTACTATTTTCTAACATAGGTTTTTCTATAAACGTTTCACTGTATTAAAACAGCAATATTGTGAACAAGATTTCTATAAACAAAAAGCATAAAATTAAAGAGAAAAATAGATGATTTAAAAGTGAAGGACTGACAAGGCTGTATCTAGAAATTTTTTTTGGGAGAGGTCCAAAACATGTATATTGTAATTTTACTGAATTTAGATTTTAACTTTTAATATTTGGTTGAAAATAAGACAGAAAAAGATTTAATCTTCTTTTATTGAGATTAATATCATAAATTCATATGATACGATATAAAATTAAAAGCAGTCAATGATTAATTGGAGTTTAAGTGATTTTTGACAGAAAATTTATGTTGATATTTAAAATAAATGAGTGTTTTAAATATTCGTAAAATATTGAAGAAATTTCGTGGGGATTCCAGACACCCTAGAGGCCTCCCCCCAGATACGGCCTTGGTGACTGATACTTTTGCGTTTACCAAAACACCATGGGACATTCAAAATATCTCATTTGTGATAAAAACTTACAACAAAACGGTTTTGAAACTTATTTAAAAAAATGGCTTTTCTATGAAAAGGTTCCAGATCCCTAGTGTATAGAGACTAATAGTATATATATATATATATGACTTGAGCGAAAGCTACCAAAAAGTTGAGGGTATGACTTATGACAATATATTTATAAATATTAATCTATAGTTAATATATATAGTTTTTTAACTATATTTATAATCTATATAAATTAATAAACTGTTATTATATTAACTTAAATATATTATCTTATATTTTCAGTATTTAGATCAAAACGTTCAGAAATGGAATGGGTGATTAAAAAAACTGGATCTACACTCGATAGTGTATTAGATGATAATTGTGTTCGATTAAGAGGTCTTCCATTTGGATCTACAAAAGATGATATAATACAATTTTTTCAAGGTAGACTTTTTTGTTTAAACCTTGAAATGCATTATTTTTATTAATTTGTTTTCTCAACTTATGGGTTGGTGCTAAATATGATTTTTTTGGTGATTCAATAAGAACGAAATGAATATTGTTAATTTTTTGTGATATTTGTATTTATTAAACAGTATAAACTGAAATTTATAGATTCTAAATGTATAAGTAATGGCTTGTAAGTTTCTATTGTTTATTATATATAGTACTTAAAATATTGTTGTTTTCCATATTTTTATATAGAATATCTAATTAATAAAATTATTTTTCTGACATTCTTAAGTAGATTTATATTTATATTTATATTTTTTATTATCATTTTAGATTTAGTACATTTAAATATATCTAATAAACATCATTAAGAAAGTACAATCCATTATATTATTCTAATAGTTAACTATGACAGTACACAATATTGCAAGTATTTTTTTTCAATTAATGTCTGATATGTTTTAAATTTATGAATCCCATAGAAATGAAAGTAAAATACTTTATAATAAGGTATATCACCTAAATCAAATTTGTTAAGAATTATATGAGAATCAACTGCTTAGAAAATTAAATATCACAAAACTATTAATAAACAGTTAAAATAAATGATTAACCTTAATGAATTGCCTTATTTTTTTTAAATATTTTCAGACTAATTTATTTATATCTATTTTTTGTTAATTAAAATGTTTGTGTTTTTGGTTGTGCTAATGATTGGGTTATCTATGATTGGTTGTATTGTGGGCAACAGGGTTGGAGATGACAACAGACGGTATAACCATAGCAACCGACTTCACGGGGCGGAGTACGGGGGAAGCTTTTGTACAATTTGTAGACAGAGAGAATGCAGAGAAAGCTCTGCAGAAACACAAGGAGAAAATAGGACACAGGTGGGGTGTCTTCCTCTATTTATCCCGGTGAAAATTGGCGGGTAATATAATCACATGTAGTTAAGCAAAGGGAGGCCGGGAGGGTTATCCTTCGCTCCTCCTTATTTGTGGTTTGTTTTTATTTTTTTTTTATATTTAAATATATATATATTTATTAATTTAAATGGTAATTTATATGTTCATTATTTTTTTTAAAATGATGAACATTTAATTTTTATTTTAAGTTAAATATTTTTAGGTATTTTATATCTATATTTTAATGGTAAATACTTAATACATTAATTTTTTTTTATCATTCTTTAGATATATTGAGATATTCCGCAGTAGTTTAGCTGAAATTCGTAATCAAGCTTTACAAAGAAGACCTCGGCAAACTCCATATGATCGAATGGATCGTTTTGGTAATAGTGGCGGTAGTGGAGGTAGTGGACGGTACTTTGATATGCCCATGAGAGCTGGTCGTAATATCAAATCATTTGGAAATAATGGTTATGATAATGGTGGTGGCCCATGGAATAGTGGTAGAAATATGGGCGGACCAAGAGGGGGTGGTGGAAGTGGCCAAGGTATGATGGGTGGTAGTGGCGGAGGTGGTGGAGGATGGAATAGTAATAACTGGAATGCTCCTCCGAGTAGACCTTTGTATGTTGTTCATATGAGAGGATTACCTTTTAAAGCAAACGAAGAAGATATTGCTGCAGTTCGTATATTTTTATACTTTTAAACTTTTATGAATTGATGTATCTTTTATAAATGTATATAATTTCAGTTTTTTGAACCATTGGAACCTGTTGAAATAGTAATTCTTTTCAATAACAATAACCGGCCATCTGGCGAAGCTAATGTTGAATTTGCTAGCAAAGAAGATGCTATGAGAGCTATGTCAAAAGTAATATTTTTTATTTTAATTACCAAAATATTGTTAATTTAATGTTTCATTTTTTGAATTTATAGGATAAAACATATATGCAACATAGATATATAGAACTCTTTATGGATGGACCAGTTGGAGGCGGACTGGGTGCTGGAGGTAATAATTTTAGTATGGATGATATGGGACCCCCAAATACTGGCAATGGTGGAAATTTTGGTGGATTTGGAAACAATTCATATGGAGGTACTGGCGGAGGCGGTGGAAATTCATTTGGAAACAATTCATTCTCCAGGCGTAATGAAAATTCTGGTCCTCCAAATTCATTTTTTTCTAATAATATGGGTGGTGGTGGATATCCAAGACCATCAGGACCTAGAAATATGTCTGGACCAGGACCTAAATTTAATCCATTTTAAAATTGATTTAAATAAGTGAAAATTTGTATAAGTATTATCATACATTTATTAGGAAGTTTTGTTTTTTATTCTTAATGACATAATTTATTATACTTTAAAGTTGAGTACTAACTGCAGTAAGTATACTACTATTAAAGTAAAAATTTTGACCACTTAATTTATTTACACTGCAAAATGTTTTTTGTAATATATTTTTTAGAATATAACATGATTGCTTAATATTTCAACATTAAAATTTATGTATTTATAATATAATTTTCTTATTTGTTAGTGTAAAGAATATTGGAAACTTAAAATTTTAAATATAATGTTGGTGTAATGACAACATTCTTTCTCTTATATTTTAAACTCATGTTTTACATAATTAAATTTTTTTTTTATGTATACATATATTTAAGAAAACCATTTTATATTAATATTTTAGTATTTGTAATTAAGCTTCTATTAAATACAATAAACAGTTTTTTAAATAAAATATTTATTTTAAATAATTTTAAATATTTACAGTATTTCCTTCCAAAAATTCCTGTCAGTGTATTAATTTATCAATTTTTTTAAAAAACCATACTTTATTTTATGATTTTCAGTTCATTAAAATCTTAAACCTTATTAAAATGTACAGTAAAAACTTAATTGTATTATTTGTAGTTTAAAATGTCTTGATAAAATGATTTTTATACTAAAAGCTAAATTTGATCTATTATTTATAATTCTTATTAAGTATGTATATATTTTTTTTTTACAGTAATTTTCTATATTTCATAAATATTTGTATATTTATAAATAAAAAATTTAATTAGAAGTCGAAATGGTAACTAACTTCATCAAAGGTCAGAGGATACAATGCCTTGGATTCATCATGCAGCGAGGAGGAAATGAACAACTCAGAACACCTCCTGAATGGGTATCGCAAAGGAAAGAGACTTGAGGTAGACCCAGAAAAAGATATGTTAAGCTTGAGATTTGAAAACCGGAGGGAGGTAACACATGATATGGACAGATGGCGTGAAATAGTAGTGGCGGCCAAAACTATTAAAGAGTAGTTTTGCCAAAGAAGAAGAATATTTGGTGATTAGAGAATATTTAATTAAAGAATATTAGAGTAAAGGAAACTCAATAGCATAAATAATTTATTTATGACCAACATTGAGAATTGAAAAAGGTTAGTTATTAGTTTCAAATCATTGACTTTTTCTGGAGAATACTTGGAAATTAATTACTAAAGAAACAAATAAGCATGCTAAGGATAAATAATTAAATATTGATAGAGGGAGAATTCGATTAAAAAGTAAAAGCATTGGATAGGAAAGGCTGGAGAATTGGATGTGTGATGGGATGGTCTTAATGGACGACAAACTCAAAGAAAAAAAGAAGGATAAATAAGAAATTCTATAATAATATAGGAACATTTCTATTTTACGGGACAAACTTTTTTTTTTGCAATTTTTTTTCGGAATCTTAGGTAAATCGATGTTTTAAAAATGATGGTGCAAAAAAAAATGTAAAAAATCATTAATTTGGTAATTTTAAATTTGCGTATTTTACAATATATATATATTTTTCTTTAAATAATACTTTAGGCTTATTCAGTGACCTGGTTGGGAACGCGTCAACCTAAATATAGGTAAGTGACTGGTTCGATTCTCAATTGGACGTTATCATCTTTTTAACCTATTTGCTAAATACAATTTAATTCTATTATTTCCCATAGAGACTGGCATAGGCGGACATTTGGTTGAATTTTTGGGGTGCTATAATAATTCAATGTAAAATAACCCGTAGGGGGTTTGCCCCACACCCCCTTCCCATGCTCAAGTAAAACTTATTACTATTAAAAATATAGATATGTTTAAACTGTATTAAAAAAGACACTAAATAACGTATATTTAAAAATAATTAATATTTTGTTACAAATATCTATTTTTATCAACAATGATATTCAAAATATTATTGCTTTTTATATTTTTCGATAAATCTTTTTCAATATATTGTATTGAAAGATTGCTGAACCTATCATGAACCAACAATGTATTTCTTATTTTACGATTTTCAAAAAATACGAACAGATAAAAATTGTTTTAGAAAAACAACGAAAAACATTTCTAACAAAGTTTTGATTCTGAGGGGGGGGCTATTAAAATATTTGGAAGGGAGCTAAGACTTCACTATCATTTCAAGGTACTTAACTACGTAAATTAAAAAAAAAAGGTGTTCCGTATATTAGAAATATACCAAAATATAATATAATTCATACTTCAAACAAATATAACTAAAATTGTATTTTTAATAATGTCTCTAAAAAATAAATGTCTACAAATACTGTAAATATTTCAATTAACTTTATCATCTGGTGTTGATTGAGGTAATCTAAATCCAATCATGTCTGCTGTTTCTTGAACAGTTTTCTCACGTCTTTGATGTTTATTGGTGAGCTCACGATATACACGTTGTGCTCGTATATATTGTAAATATGTATCACCAATCCATATCATCTCATTGGGTCCACGACAATATTGCGCCGAAGTTACTAAGTTGGATCGGTATTCAGACAGAATCCATTGCATCAGAGGTTTGTTGAGTAACTTACCATTAGAAGTGAAAGACCGGAGTTCACGTGCTAGTGATCGTAGGATAGTAAGAGATGATTTTCCATACATTATAACTCGTTCGGACATATACAAAAATGAAGTTACAAATCAATTTTATTTAAGGCAAAACCATAAATATCTAGTAACATTATCACTCATCAGCTTATCACGTATAACGATATATTTATTTTTTATCAGATTTTAAGTACCTAATTTTGTTTTGACCGGCATACTGTTGTTGATCGAATGACACATCACGAATTACATTTATTTACGTGTGACGTCACTAACATCATACCGTGTTTTCCTAAGGAAAAGCCACATAATAGTACAGGATTGGTCGATCCAATGTTCGTGTAGCGTTTTTATTGGTCGATGTTTATATTTATAACAGTGTGGCGGGTGTTGGTATATTACAGTTGTTCTAATATTCTTTAATGCATGTCCACTGTTCGTTCTACTTCATATAATATTCTTGATTTTTGAGCTGTTGTTTTGTCGTCAATTCATATTGACAATTTTCGTTTTAAACCGTTGGCCAACATCACGTCAGCATGATAAAACTCAAGTATTTAATACTTGTTGTTTTCAGCTTGTCGTTTTCAATAATAATTGGTAAGTTATTTTTTTTTTTCCTAAGCAATTTATTTAATTTTTTGTTGGTATAATTTTACAATGTTAATGCACTTTAAATTTAGACCGGTCTGTAGCCGAAAGTTTGGAAGGTGAAGGAGATGTATTACAAGAGTTTACAGTTTCATCGACTGTTGAAGGTGCTAGTAAAGAAGGTGCAACTACTGGTAAATTAAAATTGAATATTTACAATCTCCTATATTAATTATTATGATACTATATTATATATTATTTAAATCAAGTTCTTGCAAAGCTTACTGTGATGATCTGCATTTACATACCTATTGTTGAAATAAAAAAATATATAATAAAAAATACAAAATAAAATTAACGAGCATTTAAAACAGCCACAAACTGTTTTTTTATTAATTTATTTTAATAGTACATACTTTAAAAATAAATATTTGTTTTATTTAAAATAAGGTTAGGGTAATTTATGTTGTAAATCTGTGATTAAAATATAATGACAGTAAATAATATTGAACTAATAATTTTTAATTAAAACTATATAGTAATGTAAGTCTCATTATTATACCAAATGTTAAGCAATTAATATCTCTGTAATATTTTCAATTTTATGGACTTCTTTTATCATACTTTACATATTATTAATGTCTCCTATTTACCTATATGAATTCAAAAAATTATAAATCTAATTAATTCCCTACTTGCTAATATGGTATATAAAAAATATATGTTATTATTTGATTGGTATTTTACTTTCTTATTTTTATATTTTATAACAATATTAATTTCTTAATTAATTTCAGTTGCGACTCGTGTAGTAACTGAAAATCTTATGTTTTTAAGTAGAAAGTTTTTTATGTAATATTCAAAAAAAATTTTAATTTTACATAATGTTAAATACATTCTATGTAGGTAGCTAAATTTCAGAATTTCATTATTGTTTAAATTTTATTTTAGATGATAATGTAGTAGTAGTTGAAGAAGAACGAATAAAATTAGATGGGTTAAATGCTGCCCAATTACGAGAGTTAAAAGAACAAGCTGAAAATTTTACTTTCCAAGCTGAAGTAAATCGAATGATGAAACTGATTATCAACTCATTATATAGAAATAAAGAAGTAAATATTATATGACCTATTTATTTTATTTAATTTTAATGATAATTATTTTATATTAATTTTTTAGATTTACTTAAGAGAGCTTATTTCCAATGCTTCTGATGCTTTGGACAAAATTAGGCTATTAGCATTGTCTAATGCTAATCTTTTGGACGCAACTAATGAACTTTCAATAAGAATAAAGGTAATTAGTATATAATGTTGATTATTTTAATAACTTTGTGTTGGACAATGCTGATCGTTTATTCAATTTTAATTTATATTTTAAATTGATTTATTATTACTTTTACATAATAAGTATAAATTAATTGTTGTTTTACACAATTCATAAATTAATTTTTATTTTCTATATTCTCTTATTAATTATTTAAATATTAAAATCTGTTAATCTCAAGATGTTAATCATGCACTTTCATATTTAACTTTATATTATTTTTTTATTATTTTACATTTATATGACCATACTAACATATTAATGGTAAATTAAATTTAATAGAACTATAATTTTTTTTTTTATTGTGATCTATAAATTCAATTAACATATTAATGTCATAACTTACAATGACTTCATAATTCCTTTTATCCACATTTAATGTATTTTGACTTTTCTAATAATTATTTTATATATTAGGTAAATAAAGAATCCCAGATGTTGCATATAACAGACACGGGTATTGGTATGACTCGTGATGATCTAGTAAAAAATTTGGGTACTATAGCTAAGTCTGGTACAGCTGAATTTCTAAGTAATATAAATAACGCTGACGGTCAGGATAAAAATGTTAATGATATGATTGGACAATTTGGTGTTGGATTTTATTCTGCTTTTCTTGTTGCTGATAAAGTTTTAGTAACAACTAAACATAATGATGATAAACAATATATTTGGGAATCTGATGCTAATAGCTTTTCCATTGTCGAAGATCCTAGAGGACCAACTCTTAAGAGAGGCACACAAATAAGGTTTATTGGTTAATTAAATACCCTATTAATAACCTTTTAAATTAAATAATAATTTATATTTTTTGTAATTTGTATTTTTAGTTTACAATTGAAAAAAGAAGCTCTTGATAATTTAGAATTAGATACTCTAAAAAATTTAGTGAAAAAATACTCACAATTTATCAATTTCCCTATTTATTTGTGGTCAAGCAAAACTGAAACTGTAGAAGAACCAATTGAAGAAGAAGAAACAGAAACAGAAAAAGAAGAGAAATCAGAAGAAGATGGTGCAGTTGAAGATGCTAAAGAAGAAGAAAAACCAAAAACCAAAAAAGTTGACAAAACAGTTTGGGACTGGGAAATACTTAATGATCATAAACCTATTTGGACTCGTAAACCTGATCAAGTAGAAGAAAATGAATATACTGAATTTTATAAAGCACTGACTAAAGATACTAAAGATCCATTAACCTATACACATTTTAATGCAGAAGGTGAAGTATCATTTAAATCGTTGCTGTATGTTCCATCTGCTCAACCATCAGATACGTTTAACAAATATGGCACAGTTACTGATAACATTAAACTTTATGTTAGAAGAGTTTTTATAACCGATGAATTTACTGATTTATTGCCCAAGTATTTAAGTTTCCTTCAAGGAATAGTTGACTCTGATGATTTACCACTGAATGTATCTAGAGAAGTATTACAGCAACACAAATTGCTCAAAATTATTAGGAAAAAACTGATTCGTAAAGCTTTAGATATGCTTAAAAAATTAGATGAAGAATCATATAAAAAGTTCTGGGCTGAATACTCAACAAAGTAAGTACATTTTTATTTTTTAAATACTATAAAATAAATTTATGAATTAATAAATTTAATTTAATATTCATTTCAAAAACTTATAGCATTAAATTGGGCATAATTGAAGATCCATCCAATAGAGCTCGTCTAGCGAAATTGTTACGTTTCCAATCATCTGTTGAAGAAATTCCTACATCATTGGCAGACTATGTGAAACGTATGAATGAGAAGCAAGAACATATTTACTATATTGCTGGTTCCAGTAGAGCTGAACTCGAACGTTCCCCTTTTGTCGAGGGAATTATTCGCAAAGGATATGAAGTATTATATTTAATTGAAGCTGTAGATGAATACACATTATCAGCTATTCCAGAATTTGAAGGTAAAAAGTTCCAAAATGTGGCTAAAGAAGGTGTTACACTTGCTGAAAATAAAGAAAAGGCTGAAGAATTGAAAAAACAATTTGAACCACTAACAAAATGGCTTGGTGAACATGGTCTAAAAGATATGGTGAGTTTGATATAAAATTGATTTGATATATATCAAATTTTAAATTTTTGAACGTCTTGGTATGCAATATTTAAAAACTTATTGTTCTTTTTTATTGAGTTTGAAGTCGATTCTAGATATTTAAAAAGATTATACATTTAGATTTTGTACTCTTCTTTAATTTTTAAAGGAACTTAATTCAAACACACAATATAAGTATAAAATATAAATAATAAAGTGTATTAGTAATAATATATATATAATATAATATAATAATAAATATGGTGTTCAGGCCAATCAAATTATGTTTGAATTTGGAATTAACTAGTGGTAAGTTAGAAATAATTTTAATTGCTTAAGCATAGGTCTGATATTAAGGAAATATATTTTTCCCTAACCTAACCTTTGAGATCGGCGTTTGCTGTCATTTTGATACAGCTCTAAAATTGGAGTTTTTTTGTTAGTTGTTTGATAATAACCCGTAAACTGAGTTTTATCAACAAACGTAACTTGGTCTAAAATATAGAGCTTTAGATTCTCTATAAAATAATGTTATAAAGTAATGTCAATAGTTTTGACAAAGTATCATGGTTTAAAAATAAATTTTGAAATTAGAACCTTAAATCACCGGCTTCAAATGAATGGCAATTATGCGTTGCTAAATTACAATTATTATTGCATGTTTGTAACAAACTCGTATATTATATTAATGTTATATTATTCTTGTACTAATTAATAGTTGTTTTTACAAAATTTGTCAAATGATTTATCTGGTGTTCTTTATCATTGTTTGTCTTCTTTGTCCTCTCTTTCTGTTTCATGGTATTTTTCAATTATTTTTTCAAAATCCTTGTAAATTTCAATGATATGGCTTACTAAATTTAAATCTTCGTATTTCGAACAGTTTGTGTATGCTTGTCCCCAACAATTAAAAAAATATATATTTGAATAAGTCATGCCTAGTTTTTGGCAACTGCATGGTCCACTACATCTCTTCACACATTTACATGAAATTGTATTTAAGACAAATTGTGGAAACGTCTCTTTATTCATAGTGATTGAAAGAAGATTTTTTGAATTCTTCCATTTTCAATCTAGCAAATTTTTATAATTTCCAATCCACATATGAATTTGGTGATAATTATGCAAGGAATGTGATGTGTGGCTATTTGAGTAGGAGGTAGAAAAGCAAAATTGAAACCCTTCTTCATAAAAGATTTTGTGAAAAGCTCATATCGTAGTGTATCCAACGTGATATCTAAAGTACTTGAGTGATAGGAGACAAAAAGATAAATTGACATCTAACATATAAGATAAGCATTGGATCAGTATTTATTTAAGTATTTAATAGAAAGTAATTTTGTCAAGTTCCAGCAAAAAAATTGAGTGATATCCCTACATGATTTTTCTTCAAAAATTCATAAGGAAGAAATTCCTGTTAATCCTGGTGTAATTTTTCGAAGAATATCATACATAAAAAAATCTGATGAAAAACTCAAGAACTACTTTGAGCTTGAACAGGCTCCCTATCCTCTCAAACTATTCTAAGAAGAAGAAATGTATAAGTCTAAGATATAATTTTTTATAATTTGTTTAATCTAGTAGCTAAAGTTCATTGAAAAAATGGTTTCAATATTGTTACTCTACCTCCTAGTACTCAAGTAGTTAACACCAAATTCAAATGTGGATTGGAAATGATAAAAATCTCCTAAATTGGAGTTGAAAGACTTCTTAAAACGCTCTTCTCCCAATCACCACTAATAAAGATAATTTCTGTTACTAATTTTTTTAGTTTTAAATTTGTGCATTTCTATATATAAATTAACTAAAACATAACTGCTATTGAAAGAAATTCACATAAAATATTAATATATTTTTTATAATTGAAACTAAGGGAAAAAAAATGAAAATACCAAATAATGCATAATATTATTAATATTAAATATATAATTTATTGAGTGTATACTTATAGACAACTATATTTTATGTTTTGTTTGTTTATATTTGTTCAATATTTAGATTTCTAAGGCAGTTGTATCTGACCGTTTGGCTGAATCTCCATGTGCCCTTGTTGCTGGAATGTTTGGATGGACTGGTAACATGGAAAGATTAGCTCTATCTAATGCTCATCAAAAAGCTGATGATCCACAAAGAGAGTTTTATTTAAAACAACGGAAATCTCTTGAAATAAACCCTCGCCATCCTCTTATTAAAGATTTGTTAAGAAGAGTTCGAGATGATCCTGAAGACCCAAAGGCAAAAGAAATTGCTGTTATGTTGTTTAGAACAGGTAAATTAGGTTATAGTATTTATTTTTTCCTGTTATTAATAATTCAAAATTTTTATTTTTATATTCAATTATTATTTCAATTTATTATAAACGGTCAAACAATTTAAATTATATTGTACCAATGTATTTTTCATATAATTTTAATTTTAAAAATAATAAAATATTTATTTTTAATGTTTAGCTACATTAAGATCAGGATTTATGCTCCAAGAATCTGCAGACTTTGCTGAAAGCGTTGAAGCTTTAATGAAACAGTCATTAGGAATTCCTTTGGATGAGAAAGTAAGTTATGATGATGATGAACCTATTGCTGATCAGCAAATAGAAGAAGAAGAAGAAAAAGAAGAATCACCTGAACACGAGGAATTATAAAAAAGATAAATAATATATTTTAAAGATGGACTGTATCAGTTTATCTAATTATAAGTCTGATTTGCAACATTTTTGCATATTATTCGAATAAGTAATGTATTTATTATATCATCAATTTACCAGTAGCACTTTGTATTTTGTATGAATTTTTTTCTTATGGAGTATTGTCAAACTACATACTATATTTTGTAACATCATTAAAAAAAAAATTAAAAAAAAATCCGTAAATAAATAATTTTCTTGTGTATAATAATTTAATATGCTACATTAAGTTTATTGTACAAATTATTAATTATAAAAAATATTTATTTGTTTGATTTATTAGTATAATTGTCTCATAAATGTAATACAAATTGTTTTAAAAACTGTACATTTTTTTTAATATAATTTTTTAACTAGGAGCAAACGCAGGGAAAAAAATTGGCTGGGGAAAGGATATGAAAAAAAAAATGTAAAATATTAATAAATAGTATGCTCTATTATTTATAATATAATATATATTTTATTTTCAAGTCCCTTGTGAAATTTTGAAATAACTATTACATATGTAAGTATTTTTGTAAATCTGGTCATTTTTTATAACATTTTTTTTCTGAAATTTGAGAGCGGGGTCGAGAGATTTGCAGAGAATATTTAGTAATATCAATTAAATTTTTTTTTTTAAATTAATTTCATTAATTAACACTTTAATTTAATAAAATATTAAATTCATTTATTTTACTTCAATGATAAAAGTATATTATATTTAAGTATTGTACTTTTTAATGGGTGTTTGAATTATTTTTTATTTTAGTACATTTTATTTAGATCATTGATTATAGAATTGTTTATTTTATAATCTATACATAGGTATACACAAAATATAAAAATTTAAATGTAGTTGTACATTTTATATCATACCAAATAAATAATGAGTGACTGCTCAAAGTTAAATTTCAACAAGATAAGATTTTAAGATAAATAGACAATTATTATTTGGCTTATGATTTAATATGTTGGTATTTTAAATATACTATCATAAATTTATATTACCTAAACAACTAATAATCTTCAATACTGGCTAGTATATTATTTCATTCCTAGGAAGTGACTTAATCAACTCCTCCATCAAAAACGTAATTTCGCCATATTAATGTATTAATGTATTAATGTATTCATAAGTTCACACTATTTTCATAAAAATTAAATACAAATACTGTATTATAATTAATTTAGAAAATGTATGATACAATAAATATAAGTGAATTCAATAGGCAAACAATAGTATTCAATTATAAGCATTTAAAAATCGTTCCTACTTATGTAAATAATACAAAAAATGTTAGTACAAAAACTAAAAGTGCATGAATTGAAGAAAAGCACTTCGGGGGGAGTATTATTTTTATTTATACTTTTATATTAAAAATAAATATTTATAACTCGTGGATTATGCTAACCAACTTGTTTATCAACTAAGAAATCTCTGGGCCACATTCGCGTAAGTTTCCTTGTAGTGTTACCCAAAAGGCAGTTTGAAGATAGTTCTAAAAAATATATTATCTTAAATAATAGGATTAAAGTGATAGTTAAATTCTTCATAGAATTTTTTGTACAAAATTTTGAATGTAATTTTTCTAACAAAAGATACAAGTCAATGTGAAGTGTCATTAAAAACGTACAAAAATGCGTTAGTGATGAGCCGAAGTACTTTTAATCGAACCACTTGTATTTATTTAATGTTTGTTTTTTGGTAGCTGGATTCTGGCTTGATTAAAATATTGTATACATTGATTTTTGAGGACTGAATACTTAATTAAGTTAAATTAAAACATTAATTTTAATCTTGTATTAAATAGTATTTTTTTCACTATAACTATACTACACCATAGTAATTTTTAAAGGAGCATCTAATAATAGTCATAATCTGAAATTATCAAATATTTTCAGCATTAAAGAGTGTGAACACTTATTTATAGTTTCCTAAATGATTTATATGGAAAAAATATTCCAATCGATACTAAACCAATTTTAAAAGTATTTAATAATAAAAATTAAAAAAAAAAGCAATAACTAATAGAATAACTTAAGAAATATGGCATAATTCAACTTATGTATTTTGTTAGTTTTTTTTTATTATTGAAGGTGTGGTTCATATTTTTAGATAAAAATACGTTGTGGTTAAAAACTAAACTAAAACTTTTAGCTAGAAAGACATTTTAAAGCCTTAAAGGTTCATTTTTTTACATTATTATTTAAAAGTATCTACGGTAATTGCAAAGTATGGATATTTTATTCATAATTGGTCATTGAATATTTGTAGTTCTTTGACAACGTCTACACTCTGTATTTGTATAATATAGTAATAATTATGTAGTAACAAATTTTTATTACACAGTCTTCGAGAATGATCTATTTTGTGATTTAATAGTACCAGTGTTATCAATATTGTTTTTCTTCCACGTGTTTGGCTATATTATTATTCCCGGCGTTTGCGCGTGCGCAATTACCATTTTACTTCAATCGACAAGACATCTCTGTCCTGCACGCTAATATACATTATACTGAAAATTTTTTTTATTTGGATCGTATTTAGTTCGAATTTCATAATTTATTTTAATTTATATGTTATGTGTTTGTAAACTTGTTCGTACATTACTGTACAACATAGTTTTGTTTGTTATGGTTCCACTTATTTACTGTAATTGATTACTTGTGTTGCCAGTATAACATTGCAGGTAAACATTTTTTTTAGAATATGTATTAAGTACCGGCATATGTAGAAGCCATCTTGTGGTAACTACTGTTTTCAATTTTTTAACTAAAATATATTTTTTATTATTTATTATACACTTTTGTAAAAATAATAAATCAATTCATAGTTTATAGTCCAATTTGTTTATGTAACATCAGCAAAAATCTGAAACTACTAATCATTTACCATTATCTTATTTATAAATAAAAATATTTCACTATCAAAAAATAATTAATTTTATATTTGTAATCATTAAAGATAATATTTATATATATATATATATATATATATATATATATATATATCTTTTTTATTATTTATTATGTAAGTTATAGGTTGTAATTGATTTCTTAAAATTTGTTGAAATTATTTTTGATTTTTAAATAGTTATGCAGCTTAGCTGATGTGTTAATTTATTATAGGAATATTATATATCAATTATATAATCATTTATTTTTGTCTATAAATTTATATTAGTAACAATATCTGGTATTTATTTACTGAAGTATTAAAATTGGTTTGAAAAGTTTTTTTTCTATTTCTTTTTATGATATTGAATGATGATATTTAATTTAAATACAGTCATCAGTTGGTAAAAATATTGCCCCTTTTTTTTAAATTAATTTATTTATCCAGTATTCACCCTTATAACTATTTATTCAAATAATTTATTTTATAGTTACTTACCTAGCACATTAAATAAAATAACTCATGAACTAAGACAACATTTTTTAAGTAAAAAACTTGCAGTATACTTACAAGTATACAAACTGCAGTAAATAATCGCTGCATAATAATGACTTCAACAATCTCCTACTTCAAGAAATTGGATTCGCTGTGAGCTACAAAAACATGATATCTATTTATGTATGTACTTAATGTATGTAGTGAGCTAAATTCAATCATGGTTTTTGACGTTACTCATTACACCTATAATTACGTTTTATAGTAAAAAAAAACATAAAAAGTATATAATCGTGTAACAATTTTATTATAATATTATTGTGACTTTTTTTTTAGTTAAAAGTTTTCTATGGAGGAGGGCAAAAATAAAAAGCTTTAAGGGACATAGGTTGGACCACCCTGATTTATTCTCTTATTAAGAATTTTATTAGTAATCTTATTAATATTTTTTGTACTGATAAATTTAGGAAAATTTAATTATTAAAGGGTACTTTTCTGTTATCCCTACTACCGCGACTACTCAATTCTGTTATCTCGACTACTATAGTACTATCCAGATAGTTCCGTATTTTAATACATAATACCATTTGCCATTTATATAATAATGTTAATTATAGCGTTTTCCATCTATTTAATTAATTACACTACACATGTTTAGTAATATTACACCCCACGGGTGTACCTAGCTAATGTGCTACACTGGCGTATTAAGTGGAACATGATAACATGTTCAAATTACACTGGTCAGTCAAATGCTGTAAAAAATTTAGTTTATTATAAGTATATATTGTTTTTATTTTACTATTTCATACCTATTACCTAATTAATTTAGCATGGACGCTGTTGAAGACGTTGAGATTTAGTTCCATCAAAGTTAAAGTTTATCCATTAAATTATCAATTCATAAAGAATTATGTTAATAATGTTAATTACATATAATTTGTCTTAATATTTTATATATGTTCTACTATGATTGTGTTAAAAATATAATTTTTATCTTAAATAATTTTAGTTCTTTTGTATGTGCATAATATTTTATTTTAATTAGGTCTTAAAACCGTTAATAGTAAATTTAGATCTACATACTTTATACTTTTAGAGACTGGTATTCAAGCTATTTTTAAATCTATTTATTAAGATAAATAAAAATATAAGATTATTGAAAAATGCAAGATTAAGTTAATTGATAATTATATTTTAGTAAAAGAAAATGGGTGTTGATAAGCTTTTGGAATATCTAGACAGTGGTAAAATAGAAGGCAGCTGTGTCAATGTTAATCTTACTCAATTGGGACATACTGTATCTCAACAACTTGCTAAAAAAATGGTTATTAGAAAGGTTCATCCTAATTTAAATCAGATGCAAGTATCGAAAGCTCAATTTTGTTTATTGGTGGATGCAGAATGTTGTTTAGATCGCTTGTATGGAGGATATTATTCAGGTGAATATTTGTACTATAAATATATATTTTAATAAATTGAATATATAAATAATTTTATGTGTAGATTGGGTTTGTGGTGGTCAATGGAATCGAATGGTATCGTTTTTAACAAATTTTGTTAATAGTTTACGACAATCAAATGTTCATGTTGTTGTATTCTTCAATGGTGCTTTTGAAGAAGATCGTTTTAATGAATGGGTTCAAAAACAAGAAGAGACTCGTAATAGAGCTAATGCTGTTAGTTTGTTAAATTACCTTTTTAATCTATTTAATTTTTATTATTGATTATTAAAATTTATTGTAAATAGGTCCTAAGACATATTGCTGCCAAAGGAACACCACCACCTAAAGTATGGTGGATACCTCCTGTTTGTTTACGAACTGCTGTGAAGCTATACTTTCACCATCTAAAAATACCAGTGGTGTGCTCAGTTAAAGACCACCATTTAGAGTTTATTAGATACTGTAGACAGCATAAATTCCATGGCTTAATGGCAGATGATGCTGAATACTTAGCATTTGATCCACCTCGGTTTTTCTCAGCTCACTCACTCAAACTTACAATGCGGCAGACATTAGAAGCTAAAGAATATATTGTCTCTCAATTAATTGAAGATTTAAAACTGACCAAAGACAAATTATGTACTCTTTTATCACTTTTAGGAAATTTTGTGTTGCCCCAACATGAACTTTTTGATTACTACAAACGTTGTGGTATTAATCAAGTTATTTCTAAGGTTAACAATAAGTTTATATAAAAATTGATTACAATAACATATTGCATTATAGTCATAATTATTATTAAATGTTTTGTACAATTTAGGTTTCTGGTGAGGAGGTCGTTAAAAAAATAGTAGATTCTCTTCAAGGATTACCTCCTATTAAAAACAACTTGGATGAAATAGCAATACATATACTTGGACATAAAGATGATAAACGTGTACCAAAATTAGTTAAAAGCATACAATATTATTTAGATGGTGCCAAAGATAATATAGTTAAAAACAAAAGTAAAACCCTAGAAAAGAACAAAAACATTCATGACAAAATTGATATATTTGGACCAATAGTTGAAATAAACGATTTTAAAAAATTGGGTTCCGAAAATCTCAATACTCAGGTAAAATTTTTATTTTACTAAAAACTAAATTTAATTAGTATTATTTATGAATTTAAATTGAGTTTGTATTAAGGTGTGTTCACACTGGAAAATTGTATGTAATATTAGAGAGTTTGTATTCGCTTGTATGTAAAACCATACATATTTCTATATATATATGTTACGGGTAATGTTAACATTTGGATAATGTCGACATTATCTGGCTAAGGTCAACATTAGCCAACTGTTATTACCCGCATTGAAAATTATTAAATGTTAGCTAATGTTAACATCAACCAGATAATATGATATTAGCCAAAAACTTTTGGATAATGTCTTAACAACCATAAAAATTTAACATGCATGAGATAAAATCATTGTAAATCATTAATAATATTAAATATATTTAACATATAATAAATTAGTAATTACCATAAAATACATAATATTATTAGTATGAATTTATTTTTTATTTTTAATAATCTAACTTACTAATGATACAATATTGAATTTCATTTTATATTATAAATTATTTCTTAAAATATTATTTTAAGTACCTATAGAATTAAAACGCTAATGTTTTAACTTTTATTATTACATGGCATGCTTTCGTGACATTTTGAATTACACAAAATGCTAGATGATTTGCATTTATACATCGATATATCGATATATATTGTTCACATTATCGTTAAGATAATTGACTAACTCGGTTACAAGTCAAGAGATAAAATATTATACTCTGGAAGTCCGAAGCTTTATTATTGTATAGAATGCTAATAAAAACTATAGTCTATTTAATATACAACTTTTAACATAATCCAATATTGATTGGTTAAAGTTAACATTATCCAGATAATGTTAATAATTCCTGCTTATAAACAAAAAATTACACATTAGCCATAACAGATGGCTAATATTGACATTAGCCGGATAATGTCGACATTATCCAAATGTTAACATTACTCGTAACATATATTACATATTACCATTTTGTATGTACAGATCAAAAACTACTGTATGTCAGTTGTTCACCAAAATCCTTAAGTTTATGTCGTGTAACATTGTGTGCAATGTTTAATTTACAAGTAGCTAGTGTATGGTAACCACTTTTAGAAAAAAAGCAACAGTGGTTACTTCTCCCCTTCAAATAAAAAATTGTATTTCAAAACATTATAATGACTACAAATATAAGACATTTATTTTTAAAAATAATAATACTACTTTTAACATTATTGCATTTAACAATTAAATAATTTACCTTTTATTATTTAAGTACTCGTATTTAAAAAAGTAGGTACATTGTTACAAATCATTACTGATTCATTTTTTTTTTTACCATAAATAAAAAAAATACAATATGAGCTATCTTGTGTGTTGTCAATTCAATGGTTCTTATTTTGAAGATGAGTGGGAAGGTGTTTCAAATAATAATTTGACATTAAATTAATATTATTTATATTATTATCAAATATTCTAAGTCGAAAACATTTAATTTATTAATTAAATAAACTGGGATGAAGGTGCTTGCTATAATCGGAATAAAATACATCAACCTATGGGTATGTTTGGAACCCCCTTATATACCATGTTTTGTATGACACTGTGGTCCTCTCAAGGGGTAAACACATTTAATCCGGCTACGGTCCAATTTATATTGCAATTAGTATTTTATAATTGTGATATACATGTTATATTTAATTCTTCCATCCGCTATAATATGTTCTACATTAAGTACCTAATATATTAGATACTATTGTCCTAATTTAAGTACCTATTCTACTTTGATATAATTGTATACTTGAGTGATTGGCTTCGAGACTTGAAAATTTCATACCTAATCCTTCATATGTTGTTATTGCGTGACTTGTATTTATGTATCATAATAAATTTATAGTAAAAGTTATTTTAATATTAGTTATGTAGTCCCCATGTAATAATAATTGTAAGTGCATACATTATTTATATCTGTAACAACTACATTATTAATCTACATTGTTCATGAATTTAATATTTCTTTCTCTACACTTTTCACTCTTTTTCGCACTATTCTAAAGAACTTATTGAATATAATCATTTTTGGGTGCTTCAAAAAAAGTTCATAAAATTGTGAACAAATTAAATTTTACAGTACCTTTTGCAATAATTATCAATTTGTGGTTTTGATATGTTTATAGTATATCGTTTATAAATGTTTAATATTTGTTTCAAAAATTTACATTTTTTCTCTTATAAATATAATGTAATAATGTGGAAAGGAAGGGATAAAAAGCATTCCAATTTTATTTTGTTGGGAAAACAAGACATGATTATTAGAAAAATATTATCCCGTTTAAACCAGGTGTATGTTTACCCTAAGCTAATGCAATATTATTTAATACATTATATTAAAAAAAAAAAGCGGAAGAAAATGTGATGTAAAATTGTGGAACATATTTTGTTTTATTTGTTCAGATTTAACAATCTTCAGTAACAAGAAATAAGTAGACAATTAAAAAAATTCATAAGAATGTCTTCTATTGATTTGAAATGCTTAATAAATTTAATTGATGCAAACATTTAAAAAAAAAAAAAATATTTATTTCCATAAAACCATTCCTGTGCAAGAAAGATTAGATGTAACAACAATTTTTGACTACTGATGAATCATATCAAGTTAATTAAATCAATTAAGTTTGCAGTAACAATTTTTATTAAAATAAAATTCAGTAGAGGTAGAGTGATTAGGGCAATTTGCTGTGAATAACTGGTTTACCATACATACTAGTGGCATATTGTAATGTAATATTCCTTTTCATATTTATCAAAATACTAACTTTTGTGTGGATCCAAATGTTGAATTAACCTGTGATGAAATGCACAGTAACATTGTACACACTTAAATATTACAGTGAAATTACAGCATTATATTACACATAAATGCTCCAGTGTGTTAAGAATTATATTAATTAATTCAATATTTTTCCTTACATTAGTTGGATAATTTGTTGTTGTTTGATGATAACTCTGAATCTGGTTCTAATACATGTGTCAACACTCAAACACCTTCATCGAATCAGCTATCTCCAAATAAATCTGTTGAGTTCCAAATTCCCGAAGTTTCTGTTGATATAGTAAATACAGCATATGAACGGCATACATCTGGTCTGATGTCTACTTATTTGTATCATATTTTAACAAAAGTAAAAATTACAATTATTTATCATATTTTAACAAAAGTTGGATAGTTAAATTTATATTTTAATTATCTTATTTATTTACATTTAGGCCGAAATAAAATTACCTGTTGTCCTAGAAGATGAAATGAATCATGAAATTCCAAACATTCATTTATTTTATAGACAAGCTCGTCAAATGGTTTATGGTATTTTATTTAATCTTCATCATGCACATTATTTAGCAAAATCAAGTAACGGTCAAAAAGGTAAATTACTTATTGTATATAGTTAGTAATTAATATTATATATTATTTGATGTATACATTTTTCAGTGGAGTTGCCAATAATTCAAGTACGTGAATGGATTAGAGATAAAACTAATTTGTATAAACGATACCATTTAGTAAAAGCTGAACCTTTAGGGTGGGGAGTTCCTACTGTCCATAGACTTTGGTTTGGGTTAGTTTTAATAATTTTATTATTAATTTTTAATAAAATTTTACTTATATTTTTACATACCTTCTAGAACAACTCCAGAAGACAACATAAGACGTTTGAGGGCTTTTCTCACTTGTATGCGTTCAGATACTCCTCTTATGTACAACACAGACTATGTTCCTCAGCATACATTAATCATTGCATCTGTCCTTAGATACATTATGACTTTTACAGAAGTACCTATTCTACAAAAGTATGAACTTGATGCATTTATTATAACAGCTGTTGCACCTGAACTATCAAAAAATGAAAACACTCAGGAATTACAAGTTAGTATTATGTATACATAATTAAACCTTCAAAATATAACCTAATAATATAATATAACCCTGTAGAATTTTAAAACATATCATGTTACTTAATATAATAAATAATTAAGTCAAATTAAGTGATTGATGTTAGAATTTATAACAATAATATCAAGTTTAAGTTAGATTTGACTAACCTCTTTAACCTGTTATCAGTATCAGTGTTAGTGTTTCACTAACATTGAACTTATATTAGGAACCTCTCGTTCTAATAAAAATAGATTGTTATGACATTCCATATATTTTTCTTCAAAATAATGTACTAACATATGAAAATATTTATTTGTGGATTTTATGAATTATTAATTTCCACAGTACTGAATTTGTTAGGGTCTTGTTCAAACAATGCTAATTGTGTCTAAAAGGTTTTCATTTTTTTTTTTTTTTTCATAATATGGGCAGTAATTTCGAAAAAATATCTGCATAGTTAAGTGAGGCTGAGTCTGAGAATGATCACATGCTTCCGAAGATACTGATGCCAATTCTGACTTTGTTATTGCAAATACTACATAATATTCTACCCATACTTGTCTAACATACAATACCGCAAAACAAAACTCGAAAATATCTAATGAAGAGTCATGATTTTTATAATATACTTTGTATTTTATCAAAAAATTATTGGTATTTAATTTTTTGTTCTAGAAATTTAAATAATAATTGCTATAAATAGAGAAATATTTTCATCTTTGTTTCACTATACTAAATTCATTATAAAAATGCATAGGACCAAAAAACCATAATATTAGCCTAATGCTAACTTGATACCAATCACAATACAAAATATGGTATTAGCGATTATAGCTTAACAAAGGTTTACCTATTAGTAATAAAAACTTATTGAGATTAAATAATAATAACACAGATTTGAGAATTATTAGTAATTATTAATATTGTAAATTTTTCACGGTATATTTTTATTATTAGTTTATTTAAAACATGGTAAATGTTCATTAAAATGCAGACTTTAATTTATTTAAAGAGTTTTAAATATATTTACGTAATTGCATTATCTAATTTAACAAAAATAAATTAATAATTTCTTAAGAGTAATTCGCCTGACCATTTTATGTATTATAGTTATATATAAAAAAATCATCTGTGTTCAATAATTCTTCAATTGGACAAGAGATGAATTAATTTATTATTTTTTAATTTTAAGTAATATTTAAATATAAATCATGTCATTAAATTGATTTGTGCAACTGAACCTCATTTTTTTAAAATTATTAAAAAAAAATTTCCTACCAACTATGTTAAATTAAATTAAATTGTACGTATACTATAAACTGTGTGCTTAAAATTGTCAACTTGTATCAATTAATAATTAAAAAATAAAAATATAAAGAGGGTGATTTAAGTTATGAATAATGCTGTTAATTATAAATTGTGACTATGTGAAGGAACTTCTTTTTTCATAATATTTATTCATTATAGTATATATTTATTTGTGGATATATTCAATTGAATATGTATAATTTATACCTTAAAATATATCCTATTGTTTGGATTAAAAAAATTCTAAGGTATTGTAATTATTCTGTGTAATAAGGGTTGGCAATTTTCTCATGTATTATTCTTTGTCGTAGTTTTCTTTATAACTAAACAAAATAGCTTGTAAAAATATTAAACTTGAACAATTTTTTTTAAATATATAAATTTCTTTAAAATGTTATAGAATATTTTTCTCATCATTACATAAATATATATATTTTATTATTTACTTATGTTTATTTTTATAATTAAAATAATAAATAAATAAATAAACGTATTAACCAAACTTAATGTAAAATTTCTATTAATAATTTAACATAATTTTTATTTTAACTTGAATTTGCCAACGATTTTCCAGGTTTGGCAATATTTTCTTGCAGTATTAAATTATGTTTATTTTTAGGGTACTGTTAGTGTGAGAGGTGTACAATTAGCAACACTTCTTATGTGCGGTATTGAAACTGCTATGTTGGTCAATGATTCTTGTGGTGCACCTGTACCATGGTTAATGTCATGTCCATGGATGTATTTTGATGGAAGGTTATTCCAATATCATCTAGCTAGAGCATCAACTGCAAATAAGCTAGAAGATTTGTGTGAAAATCATTTTTCATTGACAATTAAAGTTGAAAAAATGAGACAAGCTATTTTAGAAGGATTAAATGAACACTTTCAATCAGTTCCACCATTTCAAGGGTCATTCTTGGGTACTTTATTCTAAATATATTTTTTGATTCTAAAAATTATTTTTATTTTTATTATCTATAGATACAATATTTAATCAAAGAAGAATGATTCCTCCCCAAAAAATGAGCTCTAATGTGGCTCATGCTAGTATATCATACCAGCAGCAACAAAGGCTGAGTAGATTAGTAAATCAAAATCCTAGTCAGTTTCGAGATATACAACAAAATAGTCGGCAAAGAGGGATTATGAAACAATCATCTGGTGGCCAATTAGAAGTTGCCGGAGCTGTTGTAGGTATCTGGGGTGCAAATTATAGTATGGCTGCTACTGGAAACCCTTACATGGCTCGTGGTAATATGCTACCATCTCAACATGTAAGATTTAATATTTAAATGTATTTGAACTTTAAATAAAAAATTCAATTATTAATTGATCTTTAGGTAATGCCTCCAATCGGTGGTCCAAATTCTTTATATCAACGTGATCTCATGCCAAGACCCGTATTTAATACACGGAATTGTTCAAAATCTGTTCGAGGACGTAGTAATGTTCAAAAAATACACGTAAAAGATTAATTAATAATTTTATTATTTTATTAATTATATTAATATAACTATTTGGTTTATAGAATAATAAAAAAAAGATCACTCATAATATTGTGAAAAAAGATAATATCATCAAAAAGACCCCTTCTAAAGGGCGCGGTATATCTACAATAACTCCAAACACTGGGTAACTTATTGTTAAACATACACAACATTTGTCTGTTTTGTAATTTATTTACAAAAGAAAATGTTATAAATTAGTCTATAGTATTGCTCATTAATATAAATATTCCTACAAGAATGAAAAAAAGATATAATATGTTATGAATAAAGAATCTGTATGGAATCAAAAATGACATATTTTGATGTATATTTTTTTTTTTTTATTACTAGAATTTTTAAGTATAAATGAGTTTATAAATTATATTTATGCTATTTCTGTGTACTATTATTAACCCAAGTTACAATTGTTATAATCCCATTTACCTTCAAAATCATATGGGAACTCAAATTTATCTAATTTAAAAATAGGAAATGTTGCTAATACCTTATATCTTATCATTTATTTTTGTTTTATTTTCAGTGAAACAATTTTAACTTCTAAACTTATAGAAGAATCCAAATTGTCAATATTAAATAAAGAAAATGAAGATATAAAAACAAATTGGTATGTACATTTTTTTGTATTTATTAATGAAGTATCTAATTTTTCATTAATTATTGATTTTTTAGTATTGTACAAAGCATTTTGCCTTTAGTGAATGGTAATTCATCAGTTGAAGAACAATTTAAAAATACTACTCCAAATGGTGAGAACTAATGTGTATTAGTAAATGTACTTAAATTTTTAGGTTTATATATGTATCAACTACATGATTTTTAGCTGGTAGTAACATATTATTTTATTTCATTTTTTATTTATTTTTATTTTGTTTCATTTTTTTTTATTTATTATTTTATTATATTATTTTTTTTCTAATATATAAAACTGTCATGTTTATAAGCTTTTATGATTAGGTGTATTCAAAAAATTTTCAAACTTTTTCTTGTCTTCAATAGTTGTTTACTAATTGTGAATATACTGGCATTGAAGTCATGAATTTATCCAAAACAGAAATATTTTATCCATCTTTATTCATTATTTATTATAATAATTATATAATTTATTTCATCAAATAAATATCATGTTTTATAAGTTCTAAATAAAACTGTGTATATATAAAACATCAACAAATTTTCAATGATTGATTGCTTTATATAATATTGTGTATATATTTTATTTTAGAAAATGGTGTGTCTGGTTCTTTATCAGAAAGTACATCCAAAATCATTCAAAAACCTGCGTTGGAGGTTGAAAATTGAATTATTGAAATGTAAGTAATAGAGTTATGTTATACTTTTATTAGTATAATAATATACTATTTTAAATATATTTAGAAATTTGTTCATATGGCCTTACCTTATAAGTTATCCAGAACTCAAGTTTTATTCATGTAAATACTATTGCAAACGAAAGACGTTGAAATATGTGAAGAACGATGCTAAATGTTAGTCATTTTTATTAATTTTTACATATTGTTTTTTTTTTTTTTTTTATGTAGTTTTTATTCTTTATTTTGTAAATTATTAACATTTTGTTATCTGAAGGCGCCCACGGATTAAATTACATTATCCGATTTGTGAACATCGAAAGACTGATATTTAAAGTGTTGTCACAAACATATCATTGTCTGGTAATTGTTTGTGCAGCCATGGTGATAATAATTAGTTATTAACGTTACTATATTTTTAAATCAAATGAAAAAATAATATGAATCGTTATCCTTTGACTGCTGTCCAAAAGTATTATTGTCGCGGTAATTGTTTTTAATCATATTTTTCTAATTTGTTAACCCAAATACTTTTATAATTTCTTAATACTTAATATGATTTTTAATTTCATATACAAGCATATATATATGATTGTAAATTTATAATTTCTATGTAATTTTTAACAATTTAATAATGGGCAATTTAAAATAAGGGCCGCCAAAATGAAAAATTTATATATATTATATTTTAATACATAAAAGTTTTGTGGAGGTGTATCTTGGACGATTACAATACTACTTTAACCTATATATGTGACTTATACAAATGAAAAGTTAACAATAAAAGCATTTTTTTTTTTTTTTTAATTTTAAAACTATTAATAAGCAGATATGAGATATATTATGAAATACAACATTCTTAACCTGCTGTCAAAATAACTTGTAATTATTAAATTTTTTTATTTTTACCCTCAAAGGTATAATATAAATGTATTTTCAAGTTTATTAGTATTTTTATGTGTGATTATTATTTTTACAATTTTATTTCTTTTATGAATATAATTAGCTTTTAATTATTTAACTATTTTCTATCTCCACAGACAGAGAAGTAACTTGCATAATATTTTTGTTTCCATTAACACTAGAAATTAGATTTTTTTTTCTTAGGTTATAATCATTAAATTATGTTTTAATTAACACATTTATTTTAAAATCAATATAAATTACATATTTACTCTTTTATTTGTCTTTTCATGTCTTAATATGTATTTTTAATACTCATTAATTGTTTTTCTTTATAATATTGTTAATAGTATCAATTTTAGTTATTTTCTTTAAATTATATTATTAATAATTATTAAATACATGTACTATTGATGAATTACTCTAAAATATAATATTGTCGGCCCTTTCCCTTTCAAATTATAATCATATTTTCATAACCACTCCTTAAAATATAAATGAATCAATGTAAGTGTATTATTTCATCAATAATATTTAAGTATTAGATATAAGAAGTTAACTGTTATAAAAAATTATGAAAAAAAAATATTTAATAATTATTATTTTGTGTTTTTTTTTATTTTTCTATATTGGCCATATTTATATCAGTATTGTGATTTCTGAAATACCCTGAACATTGGTACATTAAAAAAAAATTCAATGTATAATTCATATTAATTAAATCATTTAAATGGTTAATATTAAGATTAGATTACTGTAATGGTGTATACCAATTCTAAATAAAATAAAGTTATATATTCATTATTTATTGAAGTGCTTTTATAAAGTTTATTATTTACCTACAAAAATTTGAATTTTTAGAGAAATTGGAAATAACTGTTTCATGGTTTTTATACTGAAGATAAATAGCCTTGTATTATAATCAAATTATTAATTTATTTCATATGGTATTAGAATCAAATTATTGACCCATTTACATTATTCTTTTGAAGTTAGTAATATAGAGTAATGTCTAGTGATTTTACAAATACTGGTGGTTATTAAGTATATTTTATTCTCAATAATATTTAAAATATTTAACCATGTAGTTATAATATATTAATATTAACATCTATATTATAGATGCTAATATGTGAAGAAGTGGATTGGCCAGAGAGAAAAATGGGCAGTAGCTTCCCGGCCCTTGATTTTCCTCTAGTGTCATATTTTTCATATTTAGTCTCATATGCAAAATATAATTTACTATTAGAATACCTGAATTGAGCATTATTAACTAAAAATATTTATTAGTTGAAATTTTATAATAATCTAGTTGATTAACTCTTGGGTCTCTTAATACTTGGTCTGTCCCTGATATGTGCCTTCTCTCCGAATCATTTTTCTACTAAAATATTTTATTAATTACTAAGCTCATTATAATTATTTTAAATATCAATATCATCAATGTTTATATACTTATTTAAGTATTTCATCTACAAATAATGAATAAAGATGATTATAAAAGGTTAACTTAATAACTGGCCATTTTCACACAAGTCAATTTCCAGGTGACGCGAGGGATACTTTATAATCTTACTATATGTAATACTGGAAAGGCACAAACGACACTACTGCCAAGTGACGCGTATTCTACATTTCTCGATTTACAAGTATTTTCCAAACAACTATGGCCGAACATGCCTTTAACAGTTGGTATGATTCTTTTGTCATGCGGTAGAATGCTATAAACTTAAAATTTAGCTCTTTAGGAGCAACAAATAAGCGTTAATGAATGTTCTTTTTAGTCAAGGGCAGTTTTTGATTTTCTCCCGTTTATAATAAGTATCAACTATATCATCATCACTCGACGACTTATTGAAAACTCAATAATATAATAAAACGAAAAGCAACAATGAAGTTATAAACAAATGTTAGGCTAGCGGTATACTGTAAAGATCTCATCACTTAAGAGTGTGGCGATCGATTGCTTATGGATAGCAGCGTGTAGAAGCGGATTTATCTTTTTACGGCTATAGGTACCAACAATTTGCTGCTCCTATAATAGGTAAAGAAGTTATATTACCCCTTCCAAAATACCTAATCTAAATATTAAATATATAGACAAATATACCTACATCCAGGGGGGTACGAGAGGTTCATGTGCACCGGATGCCAAAAGCTTTTTTTAATCTAAGTAAAATTACTGAAAGTTAACCATATTATTTAATTCAAAATATTTTTCACGTTTAACGCCATGGTTTCGCGCATAGTCGACATCATTTACATTGTCTTGATCGGCGGTGTTTGCTAAATTATGTTTAGCAATGCTAGATTTGGAAAAATTAAAGAAGGAGGACTCTATTTACTTTAAAAAAAAGAGCGTCCCCAAAACTTGTTAAGCGTTATAATTATAACATAATAATAGTAGGGGGACGCTAAAATTTCTGAAAATTAATTGGGGTAATCTGTCCCCTTGCGTCCCTCCACAAGTCGAGCGCAGGTGTTTAGTATTGGTATTGATTTTTGCCCCGAAATCGGCGAGATGACAAATTAACAATAATATACCATTTATAAAATTATTAAAATAATAATAGATTATATACAGAAATCAACCTCGTGAATGAAGGAAATAATTAGAATGAGAGCACATTTTGAAATTTAGAATACTGAAAGTATTGAATGGGTTATTGAGAGACTAATTAGGATATTACGTTTGGTAGGTAACATAGACATAATATAATATTATATTATGTCTATGGTAGGTAAGGAAGGGCAGTCAAAGAGAATATAAGATAGAATATAGATTTTTTTTTTCTAAATGGAGTGTGCAGAGAAGGGAACAGTGGCGCAACTTGACAATAAGGGGCCCATGTGAAAATGTCCAGACTTATATTATTATTTATTATGATTATATTAAAACAGACAACATAATATTTGTATATTATAGATTATAGTAGAAATATTGTAAGGGACAAAGGTAATATTCAAGGCTTTGCATCCGAATAATTTTTTCGGGTGTTCAAACACCGCAATACATTTAAACCAGAGCTTCCCAACCTTTTTTGACTCAAGACACCCTTTATTATTTTCTAAAAATTTGCAAACACTCTTTAACCTATGCCCTATACTCTATAGTATATACTAAACACGCAATACTAATGTATCGTAAATTTAAATTTATATTTTGTAACTTCGGTTTTATTTAGCATTAAAATAAACAATAAATATAAGATAAAGTCACAAGTATATCACCGTAAATCATTTTAAAACAGTTCACATAAAACCGTTAGCAATCAAACCAGTATGAAAATTAAAATAGATTGAACATCTCAGTATTACTATGTAAAAATTATATGTGTTAATGATTAATTCATTAAACTATATTGTATATACCTAATTAATTATACGCAATAGGTTTTATACTATAGACATAGTGTATAGTCTGTTTTATTACTCACAGTGCTACATTCTTCATGAAGGTGTTTAAAAATAAATATATATTTCAAATATTTTTGCGGAACATTAAATTTAATCTCACGGTACCCTAGAGTGCCGCGGCACCCTGGTTAGGAACCTCTGATTTAAACAAACGTTTGGGTATTAATAACCGTAATTATTTGAGTTAATATTGGTTAATACGGGATTAAGTAGTCAAGGAAAAATATTATTTTTCATTGGTGGAGGGTGTTGGAAAAGCTGAGTCCCTCTCCACTAATGAAATATTTATATTTTTTGTTACCTGCCTATGTGATAAAATATCAATTTCTTATACAACTGTACAACAGTTTTTTAGACTAAACTATTATTATATTAATTTTAAGTAATGGTGTAACTACAATTTATTTTCGGGGAAGAGGGGGTTATTTTATATGTGTATGAAGCTTATAAATTAAAATATCTATTAAAATTAAAAATAGTAACACTATGTCTTACTCTTAGTTAATGCGGGCATTTCGCATGCGACAAAGAACAAACTATTTTGTATTCTGCGTTTGTGTTTGTGGCATAGGCGGAAATCGGGGGAGGGGACTAAGAAATATAAAGTACAGGTATGAGACCCCTAGCCCTAAAAATTGTTAAGTGACTAAAAATACAATAATTATTATAACTGTAAAATGTATTTTTAATAACTGAATTAAAAAAAAAATATTCTATGATAAAAATTTAAACAAATTCATCATCTCTGACCAACCTACACTGTCCATACAACTACTGGGGACTTTGTCGATGACAAGGCACTCCTGGCTCTCCATTCAAACCCTGAAACGGCCTCAAACTTTATCCAAAACCACCTTAATATCTTATCAATCTATCTATCTATCTATCTATACTATATATAAAATTGTAAGGGTTTTTCTTCGACCACGCTAACCGAGAAAACTACTGAACCGATTTGGCTGAAATTTTTTTTTGGCTGAAACCCGACACTCTGCTGAAGGGTTTAGTACCACTTTTGTCAGTAAAAAAGTTCATAAAAGTTCATAAAAAATTAAAAACAATTGTACCTATATTGTGCGTGCACCTCCGAGATTGATTATTTAAATATTAAAGCGCTTCAAATTGGACGAATGACTATATTATGTCCTAAGTGCCATGCAAAAAAATGGAAAGATGAAACCCATGGACTTTGCTGCGCTGACGGTAAAGTTGTTTTATACCAATTTGAGGATCTTCCAGA